TTTTTATTCGATTGTAAATCTAGATCAAGGTATAAGTCAGCAGAAATTGTAACTAATTTCGTGGAAGATCGTATTGACTTCTTCAAGAATGTGACTTACATGCAATTGATCTAGGAACATAAGAAGAATCAAGACGAGCCTTGATTCGAACAATCAGAACATCAACTGACAACTTAGTTGAAGCTTGAATCTAGCAATGTGAATCCGTTCTAGGGACCAAATTAACAGGTCAAGTCAGTGTTTTAGATTCAACTTGAACTAGACACACCACAATTTTGCTTAATAAAAACGGAAAAGTGTACTCTTTGAACGTTTTCGATAAACTGATTCATTTTTTTTCTGAGATGTCGTTGATAGAAAACCAAACTTTTTTTCTTTTTCTTAATTATGCGTCGATCACAGACTAATGTGTTGGTACAACCATCAATAAAGCAGTAAGAGTATCAACAAATGAACGTAAACTGATACTTAATTTTACATGAGAGTAGTTGACAAATACTCTGAACGAGAAACTTTATACTAAATATGCTAGATAAAAATTATAATTCGAATCGAATAATTTTATTAAAAATAAGAAAACTTTTTTTTAATATAACAAAATAGAATCATTATTTTAAACAATACGTGTCGAATTCTTGAATCCTGACAGTGAGGTATAATGTCTTGAACCACAAAACCCTCGTCAAGATTTCCAAGTATATATTCAACAGCTCCATTACCGAACTTCAATAATGCCAAACGTGATGAGCAAGTCAAAGTTTACATTTAATGAGACTAATTTGATGTACCCCTCATTTCTGAAGACAATTCTACATCTAGTTTTTAACCTAGTTTTTGAATAATAAACGTTGAAAAAGGTTTTCTTGTTTAAAGAGAAAGGTTATTTCAACTTTTTTTTTGAAAATCATTATTTTTATCTTGCTTTGATATTTTCATCAATCTATCATAACTCTTTTTTTAACGTTTTTTATTAACTTTTTTAAAAAAAATTTTTTCAGTTCAAAATATACAATTTTCTTTATTTATTTATCAACATAGAAAAAATAATCTAATTACTTTTCAATTTTTTTTAAATTATGCTTCTGCAATACATGACCAGAACAAAAATTGGGAATTTTAGGTTAAACGAAATATATACTGAAAAAAGTTATTGTTGTAAAAACTATTCAAAGTATCGTAGAAAATAAATTGCTATTAGAGCAATATGGGATAGCTATAATAGCTATTTAAATTGCTAAAAGATAATTCGTGACGTCACATGCTCTTAACTTCATCTCTAATTATAAAATTGTAATATGAACGAAATTTAATGAAAATATAATTATTTATAATTATAGACAATATTTGCAGTCAAAACTTCATAATTTTATAAGTTCAATTTCTAAATAACACTAAGAAATCAATATTTAGAATAACTGGGAAAACTATCTTTCCAAAACAACTATTTTTAATATCGTTAATTGACTATCTGGATAGTCTCTACAGCGATCTAATGAATAAGTAAACCTGAAAGGTAAATTCCTTATACCGTATTGTTTCTACAAACTATAAATTTTTCCCAGTGTGCGAACAATAAAATGATAAAAAGTATAAACAATTTTTTTTCTCAAATAATAATTTTATAAAGATTTTATTTAATAAAAAAAAAGAAGAATTCATTTTTTTTAAAGGAAATACTTTCATCAGTTTTGACAGATCTTTATTTCCACATCAGTTAGAAAATCGACGCAACATTGAATATGATTCGTTAACGTTCTCGTTATTTTAAGTAACAAAAAAAATCATGGTACGTTGAAAAAAAAATAATTAGTGCATTCGTTATTCATTTTAAAATTCTAATGAGTTTCGTTAGAGTTACAAGGGTTGAAAACTGGGACAAAACTCGAACCGCCAAAATGACAGGTACCCTGAACAGGGTTAAGCCTTGTAGCATGTCATTGTACGTAGAACATAGGTGAACAGTTTAACAAGCGGTTTATGCTTGTGACGTATTTTCTGGTAGACTGAAAGTTAAAAATTATAATTTGCTGATCAAAGAATGTGAATAATTTTCAACATGACGTGTCTATATACTATTATCCGTCTATTCATTTATTTAACGAAGCTTATTATATAAAAGCTCTTAAAACAGTGTCAATCACATATTTACCTCTTTTCACATCATCACCTCTCTTGATATTTCGACACGCTTGGTGTGAATTAGTATAGTTTTATAGGTGAATGGATTGTGCATCGGTCAGGCGTATCATGCCTCGATCGACGGTTTTCTGTGACAAGATCCAACCACATCGTTTGTTCAACCGCCGTGACTGACCGACTGATACACGTCCACTGTTCCATGTACCTCTTCATGTCACAATGCAAAGAAATAAGGTTTCGATGCACTTCAGTACAAATACCAAATGTAATTAGAATTTAATTAAAATTGTTTGTTTTACTATTTTATTGTAAAAGCTTATGCGAATTAACTGGAATCGAGGGATAATCAAATTAAATTATTCAGCTCTTTAGATGTTTTATTGATTTTTTTTCAAATAAATAGCATCAATTGGGTGTATCAATCAATGTTTTTACGAATTAAAACTATTAAGCTTTCATTTGCAATTTCCACTGTTCTTGCATTTGAAAAATAAAAGCTTTATAATTTCTCTTTTTATTTATAGAATTAAGCCAATTTTCGTTAAAAATCAACGAAATCAATTTCTTCACCTTCATTTTATCATTTCACATTATTCGATTATCTATTTATTGTTTTTTCTATTAAAAAACTGATTTTTATAAACTACGGTAATATTCTAACAAAAAAAAAATTTATTTTCACTCATCAAATCCAATTTATATTCAGCATCATTGTGAAACATGTTTTTAAATTCATTCCATATATAATATTATTCAAGTATAACTGCAAAACAAACGAATTTATAAAAAAAATAGATATAAAAAAAAATGTTTAGTCATGTATAATGAAGGAAATCTTCAATAAATACGGGAATCATATAAATACTCACTACTTTGCAGTTATACATCAAGAGGTCTTATGCTTTAAAAATATATCATATAGGAGAGGGAAAAGCCACTAGTAACGATATAATGTGGTGCAGTTGGTGGACGATAATAAATTATCCAAAAGCAAGAGCAGTGCTCCAACCGTCGAGTATGTCGACAAAAAAAACTGCAAAATGGATTATTAATTACAATATGACGTTGCATCAGTTAGGGAGGGACAGAGGAATATAAAGAGAAAAATATGCTTACTGATGTAAAAGAGCTTTGGTTCTAGTTATTACATTGTATCCACTAGTAAATTCCCTTTTAAATCCAGTTATTACTAAATATGCATATCGAATTTGTTCGATAATTATGATGAATGAAATGCAACATTTATTCATGATGAATAAATTCGAGTAATACTTCAAAAACTGAATAAAAATTCACATGTTTAGGATTACAGTGATTCCTTTTGAAATAAAATATAATAAAAATTATTTTCATTAAAAAAATTGCAACTATTTCAAAGGTTTACATTTTACTTAAATTTTCTTTATTTGATTTTTGTTGAAGAATGGATTTTTTAATACGGCATATTCTATAAACTAGAAATCAAAAGATTTTTCTATTAGGAAAGTACATCAAATATCCCATCACTTCAACGAATTGGATTTTAATGACAGAAATGAATAAAAAAAAACAGAATTCTCTACTTGAGAGCAGCTTCCAATTAGTGACTAAAAGAAGAATGATCGTTAGTTCTATGTTTTAAAAGAAGTTCAATACTTTGGTGGGACATAAATAGACGACTAATGACATTTTTCATTGTATTAATAAAAAATAAAATAAATTGAAAAGAGTTAGATTTTCTGATAGATCTATGATGTGTCATTAAAGAATTTTTATTTCATTTCTCACATTGCTCCTTAAAGAGTGAGGTCTGATATTTTCTGGGTTAGTATGTAGTCCCCAGGAGAGCAGAGAGCCATTTAATGGTTACGTCCGACCGCTAATCTACCTTACCACTGGTTCTGAGTCCCCATGAGGGTGGTTAGCCTCAACCCTCGAACGTTATCCCTTTGCCTCTCTCGCAGTACTCGACAACTACTAATTATTCTTTCTCCTTACTTGCCCACCTATACCACAGAGTTGAGTGGCCTGAGAAGGCTATAAACGTATCCAACTGACCACGAAAACTTTACGCCAAGTTGTTATATCTACTTGCATTCTCCTTATGACTGAATTTGTGTGATCGTTACTTTTTTATTGCTATTCATTATTAACTTAAAGTATTTAATGCCATTTTCATTACTGAAAAATAATTATTTCTCATGATTGCATTCTGATGTAACTAGTTAACAAGATAGATTCTTTGTTAAAGTCGTTGCTGGTTAATTTTAAATGATATTGAGTTCAAAATTTTCAATGTTAAGCATTAATTGAGGTATAATTTATTTAATTACGTTCACAGTTAGAACAGAAACGTTACCCCGGTTTTATTTATTGATTAATCTGATTTAGTAGCACAATACAATTGTCTAGAGATCAGTTGAGTTTATCATAAAAGTAATAAGATATGGCTGATATTGGATTACTATTATATGAGTTTTGTTGTTGAAAATTTTTCAAAACCTTTCTTTGATTAAATTGTGTAGTAATCAAACTTTTCTACTTCTCTAACAATTAATAAATTAATTATTTTTGATGAAAATAAACTTTTCAATAAAATCTAAAATTATAGAAGAGTCAAAAGAAGTTTAGTTATGATGTAATTTGATAATGTAACTCTAAAGTATTGCAGTTTTGTAACTTAATATTAATATTGAGATCAATATTGTAAAAGAACCTTATTCCTTTTTAATTACTAGACAATTATGAAAACACTGTTGTTATCACTGTTGCTGACGGTTTTGACGGCATCAAATGGCTGTTACATCTTCCCAAAAGGTTAAATAGTAAAGAGAAAATAATGATGATTGAATAAATGTTAACAATTGATTTGTCTGTTGCAGAAATCAAGGATCCTTGTCGAGACCTCAATTGCTCAGTTGGCTCTCAATGTATAAGAAGCAGCGATGGAACAGGGGCAAAATGTGAGTGTCTGAAGAGCTGTCCAAACCTCGGTGACCACGAAGGATCAGGACCAGTGTGTGGTTCTGATGGAGTTGATTACCCGAGTGTATGTGAGCTAAACGCGTCTGCTTGTGCTAGAAATTCTAATGTCACGGTGGCTTTTCGTGGAAAATGCGGTGAGTATTCACAAATCTCTTTAATATATTACTAATATTTGCGATAAATCAAATGGAAAACTATTTTTTTGCTCTAAAAATATTTTTTGAATACTTACTGATAGTGTATACTGATTTATATATCCACATCTTCAGTACATTAATTAATTAAAATCTTATTCGACCACAAGACCTAGTTTCTTGCTTAAAACATGGCTCCACCGTCGCCGAGAGCTCAGCAATTTCATCGCACTTTATACCATCTCCTCTTACGCTCGACCTCGCGGCTCCTTGCAGAATTTAATTCCAACAATTTCCTCTCCTTACGCCTTTCCGGGTACACGACCGCTTGGCCCCAAGCATCGCTCTGGGTTCCTCTTCCGTATACTTAGCTTCCGAGCCAAAGGTTGGAGTAGTCGATATACACTAAGACGTTGCTACATATTCTTGTGTGTGAAAGGGGCGTCAACGGGTAGTAGACCTTAGTAGATCCTTTGAACTACAGCAAACACGAGAATTGGAGGAAGAGAAGGAGAAAGACGATAATATGTCGAAATGGCCGATAGTGCTTTCCTTTCTATACACCCACTAACTTTATTCGTAGAGGCGGACAATGATAGATAGTCAAGACAACGATAAATGTTAAATATACGTGTGAGGGTTGAATTTAAACACAAATGTCCAGGTGCTTGCGCTTTCACCCTCCTCACGAATGGCAACGATGATGAAGGTTACTGTGCTACCGCCCCAGGATAGTACTCTAGAGAGTGGGCACAACTGCCAGCAAACCTCCTCCAAAAACAGTCAGCCGTAACAAGCGATATCCGAGATTTACTGTCCGACTCTTGCGAAATCTTGGAGGGTTGCCATCCACCTAGAATGAAGCCTAAATTTTATACTTTTTACTTGTTTTTTTTTTCATTTTTTTTATAATACCAACACGGTCATTTTTGTACAGTTACTAACTCGCCAAATTTTATCTTGTTCACATGATGGCCTGCTGCCTCATACCTTAAACAAACTTCACTGGCATTTAATCAACCGAGTAGTCAAGACAAATGTTTGATCAGACAAACGAGGAGTGGTGAACTATTTGCTTAGGATTAGTTAAGTTCTTGATAGAGCGACAGTTTTAATAATAGTAATGATAATCACAGATGAAAATTATCACGAAATGGAATATCTGAATGGAATTAATAAAGGTAAAAAAAAGTTTTGCTTGAATTGTTGACAAAAAAAGACTTGTCATTTATATTTTGAATAAAAGCTGTATGATCTTCAAAGAAATTTCTAATAGAAAAATTCTTCGTTTCTTGTTGTTTCTTTCATTAAGATGTCATTCCGCATTTATTTCACTTTGTTCTCACTGTTTCTGCTGGAAACAATGAAACATAATGCATAAACTGGGACACTTTCTTCAGAATTACAAAGAATAGAGGTTGCAATATCACCGAGCATGTGGTTACTATTTTTCATTAATTTTCATTATTATTTCGAATGAATGGATCTTGCATTAAATGAAGATCTTCAAAAAATCTTCCTTCTATTTTTTTCTGTAATTTTTACTCTGTTCTAGATAAATTAAATATATAATACTTATGAATGAGATTTTTTTTTACAAAATGATAATCAATATTCAATACTTAGGTTAACCTTAATAATTATAAGCCTGTAAAGAATTAAAAAAAGACAGTCACAATCAATAGGAGAATATTTGATAGATAGCAAGTGTTTTGCATTCTTTAAATATATAACGATTTTTCCAATGAAAAATATAACTTTTTAGCACCATTACTCTGGGAATATAGGAAAAAGAATGTAGAAAAAATTGCCATTTGCCCGAGGCATAAACATAACGACGTCATCTCTTCGAACTTGTGAACAGCAAGAGGAAATATTGAACTCATTTTCGTGTTGACGAGTAGAAGGTTGAATCACGGAATATACGAATCTAACTTTTAAACGAGCACGGAAACCCTGGAATGGCCAGAGATTAAGCGATTCCATGCTCGACGTTATTACTGCTGAGACACAATGAAAAGTGTTTCGTTGCATTCAAGAACGTGCTAACGATTCGCGAACGTAATCTCTTTTAAATCCGAATATTGTAATTTTCATAGACGTATGCAAGTGATCATATTGTGATATAAAAACCCATGTACATCTTTTAGCTATTTTTATTTCTTTAGAATTGAAGGTTAGAAATAGATTGAAATTTTTCATTCCCATTTTTTTACAAATGCAGCATAGAAAGACAGAGTAGAGAGTAGAGAAATTGTTTAATGGAAAAAATAATGATGAATAGAAATGAGTCACCGAAAAGAGTCCACTTTTAACAGTATATTTGAATGTCAAACCTGTAAATTATTTAGAAAAAGAAAAAAAAATTTAGAGAACAATAAAGAGAATGAAATTCTTTTTAACAAAACTGACGATTATGTAAGATTTTTTTATTTTTCCCTAGAGAATGGAAAATAGAAAAAAAAGAAAGACCAATAAAAGTCATGACATTGATTTTCGCGGATTGTGACAACTAAGGCAGGTTCGCTGGAGGGAAGTGGGTTACTACTAGCATGCATCAACCAACAAAAACGCCTCTATGTTAACATCAAGCGTCAACTTTACAGTATTACGCTCATGCACATTGCATTGTCATTGATGCTCTCTTTCTGTCTCATATGTATTTCCCACTTTTCATGAATTCCCTCTCTGTAACGTCCCTCTAAGGAGAAGCAAAAAATATCTCGATAAAAAGTCAGACAAGATATCATTCATACGTCACATGAAGTTACCTTCTTCCAATTGTATACTTTCATCGTTTTTTGCCATCTATATTTTTCCATGTGAAGTACATTTCCAAGCTCTACTAAATTGACAGAAACATGCGGAATTGATCGTCAAAACTAAATTTATCACATCATACAAATAAAAAATGTGATAAACATTTTTTTAAAGTATATACATTTTACATATCGAATTTAATCTATAATATTTCCGTTATTACTACAATATACTTCCTCTCATGGAAAAGTTATTGAAGTAGAAAAATTATTATTCAGTTATTTTTTAATCCTTAGACGGGATACTTATTTTAAACTTGTCTCTTCAAGGGATACTGGAAACGTTTTTCCCACTTTACTCCAAACGCAAATAACTTCGTTCCTGATTATCGTAGAATTTTTTATTTTTTTCAGAAGTTCTTTATTAAATTGTAACTAAGCGTAGAATGAAGATGAATATAAACATAAATGATTTCTTTAATACTCAACCTATGATCTACAAGATCGTCTTAATCAGTTCTCAATTAGTTCCGAAACGTTTAATTATACATTTTTGTTGAATTTTGTTGGATGTTGGATAAATTTGAAATTTCAAAAGTAAAAAAAAGTCGTAATATTATGAGAATACGAAACATAAAAGTTTTCACTTGTTTTTTTCAATATAACAGATGGAAAAAATTTTACATTGAAACTTTGAAGTATAAACAAAAACTTGGCTGTTAATACAAGAAAATATTAGTCATTTACTTGAGAAGAAATTTTAACAAAATTGAGCTCTTTCTGTCCAAAGGATACTGGGAATTTAGTTTCCAGGGTCTTTTCGTTAGAAAGATACTGCACAAAAACTCATGCACGAATATACTTAGGGTGATGAAAGACAATTTCCGAAGGTTTGAATAAAATTATGGTGGAGATAACAATAGATTCCCTTGATCTAATTCTTCAGACCAGCACACCTGACAAAGTTGATATGGGAACTTAGTTCCTGGAATCCCCTCTAGGGGTTAAATATTTACAATCAAGTTTTGTTTTTGTTTCATAGTACGTTGAATAAAAGAATGAAACAACACAAATGAAAGTTGAATTACACCAGCTCAAAAAATTTTCTATTGTCTACAACTAGTAGTTAAAATACCTTTGTTTTTTTTTTTATTTCCCAGGCTGAGGTCAATTGATAGAAAAATTTCATTATGTCAACTCTTCCAGACATTTCAAAAGCAATATTTTCAATTACTACATCTGGATGGCTTTCCATGGTTCTAAAAATAGTCCAATAAAAAATAATCATCTCATTATAAATAGAATAAAAGAATACTCTTCAGCTTAAAATCTACCTTGTTGCAAATTTTTAATTCATTACAATATTTGAATATTTATTTAAAGCATTAATTTATTTCATGCTCAACTGAAGAACATCTTATTCTTTCTATTACATCTTCGTAAATATCTTGAATTTTTATTCCACCTCCAATTTCAGTCCAATGTAAAATAACCCAGGGAGTTAAAATGGTTAAAGAGAAAGAATAGTGAGAATGAAAAAAAAAAAAATAAAAAGTTCTTTTACAGTAACTCAGAAGATTAGAAGGACGACGGTCGCATCACGTTGTACACTCAAGGGAGTGGAAGACAGGTGACTTGAAAACAATTGCCTCAAGAGAGTGATGGTGACAGAATTTTAAACGAGTCCCGTTATCTCTGGCTATGACACTGGCACTCATCTCCATCCTCGTCTCAACAAATTATCTTTAAAAAGGATCGACGGTCGGTTCTTTCTTTTATCACAGTACTTATCCAATCGTCGGTTGAACGAAGTCAGGAAGGGCACGTTAGGGTAATGTTGCGTAAAGTTATCACAGAGGCAACAAAAAAGGAAAGAACGAGGTTAAGTCATGGTATTTTGCCATCGTCGGCTACTGGTACCAAGAGAAAAAAATAAAAAGAATTCCATTAGCCAAGTGATCGGTGGAGGATATAATACAACTGAAGACGAGCGTGAGAGAGTTTAGATGCTTCAATGGAGTGTAACTTTAGCTAACCCCAAGAAACATCAGCGTTCCTTCTTTTGCTCTTTCTCATTTCCTATCTCTCTTCTTCTTCTTCATGAAACTTGCCTCGTCAGCCCAACCCCATCGTCGTCGTCTTCAAACGGGAAACGGAATCCAACTTCCTTCCTTTCGTGGCGAAGATTAATCTCGACGCGATACCGGAACGACTCGACCCAATCTCACCACCAAAACCCGTTACGTTTCCGTCTCTTTTTCATTGCTGGCTTTCCCCTTAGTTCTTTCTATTTTTCCTCGCCTTTCTCTTATTCTTAAAATCCCTGTAGTCACAGATTTGAACTCTAATTCAACGAGAACAACGCAAACATCCGTACGCCCATTAACCCCATTCGAGTTAAAAGAAATCTCTCTGGCGTTGGCGCCTCTACGAAAAAGAAATTTTGGTAATTCTAATCTCATGATAGGAACAGCTGTTTCATTTAGGCATTTAGTTGAAAACAATCAAAAGACTTTAGTTAAGTCGGAAATAAAATTAAACCATTTATTTTCATGTTTGTGATCAATATTAGTTGGAAGAGTTGAGTTTTTGTTCTCATTTATTTTCTTTTACTTCTGATAGTTATCTAATCTTGAACAACAACAAATCTATTTAGTTTAAAAGCTCGCATTATTCTATTAAAAGCTTTATAGTTAATGTCCATTTCATTGTTATGTTAATTCAATACATTTGAGTGTGAATTCAAAATACTTATAGTATGTTGTTATACTTCAACTGGTTTAAAATGTTGTCAAGATAAATCTTATTCTAAGATTAGCATAAAAGTTGGAGAAATTTCACTATGAAATTTTGTGTATATTACTGATGTCAAGAAATTTGTTACTTTTTTTATAACAATACATTTGATATAATATTCTAGAATGAAGCAGCTGTATCATGATTTATTCATAACACCACTTGAAAAATAAAAAAAATAATACTAGAAGAAAATTTATAAAAAAAAATTTTCTTTATTTAATTCATATAACTTCAATTCGAATCATAAAGTTAACTACTACTTGATCTTTGATTTATTGAAAACTTTTTACAGAATTAAATAATGGTCTGATGAATAAATTTTACTCATTACATTGAAATTAAATTAACTTTTAGTAATATTTATTTTTAGATCAATTTTACAATGTTTATGTTTAAATTAATATGCAATTAATAATCATCACTCTATCTTATCAAAGATTAATTACATTCAGCATAGCCATCAGCAACGAATAAATGGGAATATCACGTTTACAAAGAAGCATAAGGTGAAGTCAAACAGCGATGATTGAAGTTCATATATTTGAGAAGCGTAAATTTTTCAAGTCCAATAATTCTAGGATATATTTAAAATGAAAATATTTGTATTACAGTGCCGCAAAAAGTAACGTAGAGTTCATGTAATAAGAGAAGATCATTTTAATAAAATCAATAATTCAAGTATTGAAGTCTAAATGATGGATTCATTGCCTTCAAATCTTAGAATCTACTTGTCTACTGATATTCCTCATAAAGTTAATGATTAATTATTTTACTTCTATCATCTGAGGAAATTCCAACTGTATTATCATATAGATCAGATTAATAAATTAAATTTAAACACAACAATAAGTACTATAACGTGCTTTCCAATGAAATTAATTAATTCAATAAATATTCATTGCAGATCCTTGTAGTACTGTGGAGTGTTCGGAACCAGAGGTTTGTCAACTGGACGCACTACGACAACCAGCTTGTCATTGTGGCGAACAATGTGGCCTAGAATTCTCTCCAGTATGTGGTAGCAACGGCAAGACCTATTCCAATGAGTGCAGCCTCAGACAGGAAGCTTGCAGATCTAGATTACCACTTAGGAAAATCTACGACGGTGCCTGTAGTTCTGGTAAGAATTACAACCCCGGATACTATTGAATATTTAAGCGGCTGACGCTGCAGCATTTATTCTTTAACAGCTATATGTACCTTTTTGATGAGATTTACCAACCGGAAATTCACTTGAATATTTTATTCTAGATGAAGTTCAAATGAATTCATTCCATCACTTATTTATTTACTCCTCATACTCTAGGTACTAATCCCTGCAACGGTGCCCGATGTAGTGAACTTGAACAATGTGCTATCGATCGTTACGGTATTGCAAATTGTGAATGCGGGCCTGAATGTGAGCCAATAATGAAGCCAGTCTGTGCTAGAGGCGGAACAACATACAGGTCTCTTTGTGAACTCAAAAGACAGGCTTGCTTAACTAAGAGTAACATTGAGGTTGCTTATACTGGAATATGTGGTTCTCAAGGACCTTGCTCTGAAAAGGTAAAGAAATACTATTCAATTAGTTTAAGAAAAATATATACTTCAAATATACTTCTTTTATTGAATACTTTCACTTTAATGTACTGAAACTTCTCCTTATATTTTCTACTTTATATGACTTTAAGAAATTCTTTTCTTGAGTTTCATTTGAGGTGATTTTATATAAAAATGATAAAGTTTTTGCCTCAATAACAGTATTTTTGTTTTTTTTTAACTTTTAAACTTTTTTCAACTCTTCTTTTTATTAAAAAAAAAAATAACCTACTTCAGAGAAATATCAAATACAAAGTTAATAAAAAATTACCGGTAATTTAAATTCAAATAGACTCGTACAAATAGCTTCATCACATCGACTCCGCGACCTCTAACGATCAATTGAAAGCTCTGATTTTACTATCAGGCTTCTGTAGGACGTGGATAAAATGAGAGTTGATTCATCCTCCGGCAAGTTATAGAAATCCAACGTGACTCGAAAGTTTTACTCTCTACTGTGTTATATATTTGATTTTTTACTCTCTTTTCATTCTTCCTTTCTTTATTTCTTCATTTCCTTTTTTTCTTTCTTATTCAACCTTTTTTTTTATCTCTCACCCGTGACTCATGTACTCGTTCTAACTATTGACACTTTGAAACCTGGATTTTTCTTCAACAGATTTGTCAATGGGGAGCTATCTGCGCTGTAAATGGAGACACTGCTACCTGTGAGTGTCCTACATGCTCGGTAGAATTCAATCCAGTCTGTGGTGACGATGGGATCAGCTACGGAAACGAGTGCAAACTGAGATTGGAAGCTTGTCAGCACCACCGGGATATCAAAGTGCTCTATCAGGGGCTCTGCAGTAAGTAGACGGCTAAAGAGAAGAGTTCAAGGGTGAATGCCCGATATAAGACTAAAGAAAAGGGGATATAAACCTTTACTTTTGTAATATATCAGTCTCATGACATCTCTCAACTTATTCTCAACATTCAGAGAAATGAAAACACTCCATACTACGATCGTGTTAATAATAAAACTTCAATTACTTTGCGATCAAGTGCCACCCTTTGGTGAAAAAAAAGTTTGATGAATAAAAGCGAAATTGAACACAAGTGTATGAAGGTAGAAACGTTTTTCTCATAAAAATGAAACCAATATAAAAAAAACAACACCACTATTATAAAAAATCATTGAATAATAAAAGCAAAAGAGTAATTGGTTATATTTATTTAAATTTGAAGAAAAAATATTTATATTATCCATTTTCGTTATTTTTCTTTGCGTTTATTGTTTATTTTTTTTTTTTACAGTTCTTTTCATTCTGAATAGTAATTCCAAGCACATCGACCCAGGGGCATCTCTTGAAACTGCTCCCTGAGGATCGTAAGCCCGATTGTATGCTTCATTTCCAAAGCAAATTCACACATTGACGCGTTATGAAGATGGTTCTCATGTAGACTCCTAGATATATGTATATCACACGACTTGAAATTAAGTATGCAGGTCACACATCTTTGTACTGAGTTTTCATATAGCGAGTCAGTAACAAGTTGTTTCATGAATATTATGAACTTATAGATTAGAAAAATAATCATTTTGCTACCAAGAAGACTTACATAGAAAAAAAAAAGAAAAAAGTATTTATAAATATTAAATAAACCCTATTTAAATTATTTTTCCAAGAACTAATGAAAAAGAGAGATGAACTTTCTAGGTATAATATTATTTATAAAAGTTTTAGTTTAATTTTTAATAAGTGAAAATAATATAAATAATAGAATATACTTTTGGAAAATGATAATTTAAAGCAGATTTATTAGGAGGATAAACAATTTAAGATTGAAACCGGAAAAGTTATGAAACATCATTTACGTCAATCATATTTGGTTTTTGACTTTCGTCCTTCAAACTCACGAATCACCAAACTTCCTTACGTCACGGCATTCAAAATCGTATTACTAAAGATTCTCTTGCAATTTGCATAACTGCATCTCACTTGAAGAGAATTACTTTGCTCGTGTTCCGGCGTGCGAAGGAGTTGGTGAACAAGCTAAAAGTGAAAGGGAGAATAAACGAGGGAGGTGAGGCTAGAGAAAATGCGGAAAGCCGAGTGGTGAGAAGTTATCTTTAGAATTCATTGAAATCCAACGTGAATCTCTAGAGAATTGGACTCTACGTGTTAGTTTCGTCGGGTTAAAAGAAGAAAGTGTTAGTCGTATATATACACATGCCGATGAAGTGGAAAAGATGTTGGTCGGTAGCTTGTTGGTGAAGGGGTTGCATGCATATGCAGCATGCATGCCTTAGGGTAACAACTCATAGTCAGTAAAGTAAAGTTGCACCATCGTGATATGCATGAAACCGTGTTTTAATCTACACTACGATTCACTGCTGGCATGATCGCAAAAATTATTCGCCAAAAGACTAAGTGTTTAATTATTACAAAGAATCTTGAACTGTAATTTGTTAAAAAAAATACTTTTCATTTGCAACAGTATTAGTTTATTATAAATGATCAACAGTGTATCATTTTTCATTAATATTACAATGAAAATGGATGTAAATCTTGATCATTACCATCTGGAAATATACACTTTCTGTTTTCATTTCGAATTTAAATGTTGACGAAAATAAAAGGTTTTGAATATTTAATCATATAAACTACATCACCTTTTAATACCGAGATATTCTATGAATAAAATAACTGAATGGAAATATTTTAATATTTGAAAATAATAATTCAAAGAACAAAGTAAATTATATAACAATCAATACCAAACAGCTTTGACAATTATATTAATCGATACTAAATTATCCAATTATTGTTTTAGATGGCTGTGAAAACAAAAAATGTGAATACTATGGAAAATGCGAAAGCGACAGCTCCGGTGAAGCCAGATGCGTCTGTCCAACCAACTGTGGAGATTCGGTGAGTCTCGCTCCAGAATAACAATGCCTCGTTACCATAAATTGCTTTGGATCTGCGTACGCCAGGCTTGGGGTTTCGCACTGAATAATCCGCTTTTGTTCGCGCTTACGGTACCCGCGCGTGTTGTTCGCTGTGTCGCGAGAGTCAACTTCTGCGTGTGCTGAAGAAAAATTGCTTTTGCTTTGAGTTGCAACTTCAAAGCCACCATATCACTAAGACAAAGTTTCTTGTGAAACAATGCAAATCACTTTAGGATGTTGTGGGGCCTTTTATCATTGTTCCGTTCGCTGTTTTTCTTTTTGTATAATCAGAAATAAGATTATCATCACAATTTCCGGAAAACTATTGACGAAAAATTTGCGTCTGAGATTTAAGAAAAACTGATGGAAAGAAAAATTGGAGATTTGATAGTCAATTTTTTTCATTTTGTTACAATATTGAAGTAGCTTTTTTTAAAAGACGAATACATAAGAATGGGCCAATAAATCTAGCTTAAAATCTTATCGGCTTTGAACGTTACTAATACTATAGATATATCGATTGACTACTTACTGACTCAAATCGTTCACGAAATATCGTCGGACAAAGCTTATTGGTATCTGTGTACAGGAGTTCTGTCAGTGGTATCTTGAGAATGATTGAACAAATTCTTTCTCAAAATCTGTTTCTCTTTCAATATGTCTTGAATAAGTAATTTAAAAGTTAGTACATTTTATTCTCAATCTGTTAAATCACTTTTTATTTCTTCCAAAAATTAAAATACTTTAAAAACTTTTCAAGCTTTTAAGTAAACATTTTTACTTCAGTTATTTTTTTTTTATCAAGAAAATAACAAAAAATAAATTGACTTTACTATTTTTAACTTTTATTAAAAATCTGTTAGTGCTTATAAAAGGAAGATAAACTTGTTTTGCATAAAAAAATATCATTTTCTACATTAAAAGTGATTGAATTTTCACTTTTTTTCTCTTATCACACCTTCGATCACTTCCATTTAAAATAGTATGATGACAGTCTATGAGACTTTATTCCCTTTTTCTCGACAATCTAAGCTTCATCGTGCTCGTAAAAAGTAATTTGGAATTCCTACGAAGAGCGGTACTATTGCGATAAAGGATCATGAGAAAAAAAGCCTAGAGACACGAGATGTAGTGGAAAGTGCATGTACATTGGCGAAATAGAAAAAAATCAGATATATTCAATGGATACAACTGCATTTACGGAACTACTATATATGGTGCAAAGGATATCATGTAATACCGATGAGCAATAGATGCGCACGAACTGATGGAGAGATAGCTGGGTTGAGCTAGCTAACCAATTGCTTATTGGGTGGAACCAAGCGTCGTCGATGGAACACCAACGAGCTCACAAAAATCGGTCTCATCCCACATTTTTTTATATCGAAATCCCAATTACTCTTATCGGTAATCACTGAGTGTAGACTTGATCGAGTAAATTTATTGACCGTTTTATCTAGACAAAATGTCAATGCTGAGGAAAAAATATCATAACGATTTACATCGTTAGATAATAAGTCATCTTCGATTTCTCTTATAGACGATACCGGATATCAATTTAAAGGCACTAAATACTGTCTACTCACCAAAAATTTTTTATTTTGTAACTGAGTTCATTACGATATAATTTGAATTTGAAAATTGCTGAATGTAGTTTCTTCTTTACATTCTAAATTGAAGAGTCAGCATTTTCTCCAAAGATTTTACAGAGTCAAAGCAGAAGTAACTACATGGATACAAACTTCGAACACTGATTTATTCTCAATCATTTACATTACTCCATAATAATGTTACGAATTTGGGAATGTTTCATATCTTTTTTTCTACTTCGGAATCAATTTTCAATGGAAAATAAATAGAAAAATGTTTTTATTCAATCAAATATGATTTTTGATAGGAATACTTCCTATAGAATAGTTTTTATTTCAGAACATTATATTCTCTTTCAATGCTGCACTTCTAATTAAAAATTTTCGTTTAATTAAATGAAGACTTGTAAGTCTCAAGCTTTCTATATCAGTTATATTTTTTATTCATTTATTTGTTTAATGCAAAAAACTTTTTTTTTCTTAAAAAATTTTATAATGAAGATTTTTACAATATTTTCCTACAACAAAAATTGTTCCTATCAGAAAATTACTAACTCTTCATAAAACAATAGAAAAAAAAACAGAGAACGGGAAGTACTGATATCATTTAAACAACAAAAAATAAACCACACAAACATCATAGAATTAAATGAACAATGAACCTTATAACTTTTACTGTGTAAACGTTATTCCACTGTTACCAACGATCGTTCCAACCGCGGCAACTGTAATAACTGTTACTTCTAGCATAACCACCACAAACACCGCGGTGGTCGCGAATTCCAATTAGAACTAATGAAGCCTCCATATGTACATATACCACGAAGGTGGCCAAGCTCTTGTCGTCTAGTGAAAGTTACATATTGTTTCAATATCAACAACGGCAAATTTCTGCTATAATAGTTCGTGACACGAAAGGGTTGAAAGAAAAATTCTAGAATTAATGAAAGAAAGATCAAATAAAGCTTTAATAAATAAACGGCCAATCAAGAAAATGAATACACCTTTGTTAATTAGGTATTCTTTTTTTTATGTCTATTTCTCGTCTCTTTATTTTCTTTTCCCACACTTTTTTGATACTAAAACTAATGTGTACTTGGCATGCAACAAGTGATGAAATTTGATTTTATTCTCAATGTTTGTTGTGAAATTTACAGGAAAAAGAGAGCAATTCTGTAAATAAAGTGTGTGGAACTGATGGAGTAACTTATGCCAACGAATGTGCACTCAAAAAAGCCTCATGTACTGCTCAGACTCTTATAGAAGTAGCATTTGTAGGGGATTGCAGTAAGTATTTTTTCCTTTTTTTCTCCCTTTCTCTATTAACATTGGGCTTAACTCAACAAATACCAATAAAAACTTTTAAACAAGACTTTCTTTGGATACAAGAGAATTTATATTTTTTGTTATCTTCAATTATTTCTCTTTGGTTAGCTTCAGTTATATTTTAAGAAAACCAACGTTTATTTCAAACGAAACAATCGTTTTCTTTATTTCTTAAAATTATGATTTTATTTATTAAGTTATGTGTTTTTGAGCCAAACAATAACAAAGTGTTAAATACAAAAAAATACCTTCAATAAAGTATTTATCATATCACAAAATAACTATTAACAAAATAGGACTTTTATCGTATTTGGCTTCTAAAATAATTGCAAATAATTCAAATTAAATTCAACATCAAAATATTTGTATATAAATAGTACCAGTTCGATTCATTAAGATTAATTAATGGATATAAATAAATAAATTAATATATTGTATTCAGAGTGTCAAGTTAAAATTAATGTAAAAATTTTCTTCAGAATTATGCACCGATATCAAGTGTGACAATGGTGCATACTGTGCAGCAGGAGAGTGCGTTTGCCCAAAAAGTTGTCCCGAACCAAAAGGAGAACCAGTATGTGGCACTGACGCAAAAACTTATCCTTCAGAATGCGAATTACAGCGAACAGCTTGCGATAGAGACAAGACAAAACTTCCACCTCTTCATGTTGCATTTCACGGTGAATGCGGTGAGAAATTCGCCGTCGCTGCTCTGAGTAAGTTTTACTTGAAACTTGTCAATAAATTCAAATTGATGAAGTTCTCTTCCAGTCGCAAAATGTCACAAACGACTCAGGAATTAGTTAATAAAAGATTATGCTAGAAAAAGAAAATATGCTTGCTATTGACTAACTGTGAAACCCGCTAACAATTAACCAAAACCTCACATTTACAGCAACCATGTCTACAGCGTCGGTAACTCGACTGTCAACTACAGTTACCGAAGTCACAAGCACTCAAGAACGCGAAGCTTGTAAAGATATCCACTGTGATTTTGAAGCAACTTGTGAGCTTGGACCTGATAAGTTTCCTAGATGTAGTTGTAAGTTTGACTGTGCTTCAATTTCACCAGAAAACATGACACCAGTATGTGGCAGTGATCTCAAAACTTATCCATCAATTTGTGCTATGAAAATGGAAGCTTGTCAGCGCCAGCAAGAATTACGATTGAGACCATTAGATCTCTGTCAAGGTTTGCTATCATTTTCCCAATATATCTACTCCTCCTACTTCCTTATCCTGCTGTAGCTAGAGCTTTGATTAAAAGCAAGTTTTTTCTTCTGTTTCATTAAAGAAGCTTTCATATCACAAAGTTATAAAATAGCTTCTAATTTTGTTTTTAATTTGTGTTATAAATTGTCGGGGTGTAGTCATCATTTATCATACATGATCTTATCCATAAAAAATTTGAGCTCAGAGAATTAATTATTATTCATTATGCACGGAATTTATTCTTATGAAATATGCACGCAAGAGTCGATCGACTTTATCATACTTTATTTACGAGCTGCTTAGGATTTTTTTTTTTATATAAAAATTTTTTCATAAAAAATTATCAAGTTTAAAATACATTTATGAATATTTAATTATTTTATACTAATCAATATCTAATAGGTATGGAAGTGAAGCCATGCAATGGTGATCCACCTCTAGTGGATGAAGAAAACAAAGAATACGATTGTGGAAATGGACCGAATAGACGAGACTGTCCAAGTAATAGCTACTGTCATCAAACTACACGATTTGCTCGTTGTTGTAAAAAAGGTATTAGCTAAAAAGCTCTTTAAATCTATTGATATTATATTGCTGTGTAATACATTCTAAACCGATCAATAGAATTCATTTTATGTACTCAACATCGAGATATATCTTTTTTTTTTGATTAATTTACCATCTATTCTGTTAATCCCAATTTAGAACAAGGTATCCAAGTTGCTAATTGCATGGATTCATGGCACGGCTGCTGTCCGGATGGTAAGACTGCAGCAAGAGGACCCGATGGGGCTGGTTGTCCTAGCAGTTGTAATTGCAACAAGTTGGGTAGTGTTTCCGATACTTGCAATCCTGAAACTGGTCAATGCGAGTGTAAACCAGGTGTTGGTGGCCTTAAATGTGATCGGTGCATGCCGGGCTACTGGGGTCTACCGAAAATTAGCGAAGGCCATCCGGGTTGTATACGTAAGAAAGTTTAAAGTCTTTTAAATTCTTTCCGTATTTCATTAACTTATTCAACTTCATCTATTCAAATAAAATACCAATAAGAATTTCACTGGTGGATTGAAATTAGTTCATTAATTTGACTAACTCAATTAATTCTTTTTCAGCTTGTGGGTGTTCCCTTTTTGGATCCGTTCGGGATGATTGTGAACAAATGACTGGTCGTTGTGTCTGCAAGCCAGAAATACAAGGACAAAAATGTACTATTTGCACGGATCACAATAAAGTCCTTTTACGAACGGGCTGTCATCCAGGTATTGAAATAAAAATAGCTAAAGAATGTTCTATCAAAATTTTTTAGTTTATGAATAAATGAAATTTCGAAAAGAGCTTAGTTTTTAACAAAGAATTAATAATAGACGAAAATAAATATTTCACAATTTTCAGTGGATGAAAGCCCAATAGTTCCAAAAAGTTGCAACGAATTGGAGTGTTATTCTGGTGGTCACTGTTCAGAAACAGGTAGCCTACATTGCGTTTGTCCGTCAACTTGTCCAGCCGATTTACCTGTAGTACCTGTTTGTGGTAGTGACGGACAGACCTACGATAATGAGTGCGAATTACGTCTTTATGCCTGTCGTCACCAGGCAGACGTAGTAACACAGGCTTTTGGACACTGCAGAGGTGGGTTCACTGAACGTTCGCCTTATAAGCCGCTTTACATCTTTCCCTACTGAATACTACAGCATCTTGGTGTTATGCATCGATGATAAGACCTAATTATATCAAATAAAATCAAGATTAACATCATCTACTAATATAACAACCACTATATTCTATCGACGTCATTATTTACTAAGAATTACCCATCACATGTGATTATTGATTGATTGCATAAACTTGTAAATTCGGAAAAAGAAAAAATTGTTTTAATTAGCAGAAACAGTAGTCAGATAGAAATAAAAGTATCTGAATAATACTGCTGTAATTTGATAATGAAGATAATAAAATTACTCAAGTTTTTACCCATTATACTTACTATATTAATACTTTTCCCACTCATTCGCGATTATTCCGATGCCATATGAATATTTTTTAATTTTTTGTGTTGTGAACACCAATTATTAAGTGTAATTTTTTTTTCTTTATTTCAACGGACAAATATTCAATCTTTTATCAAAAGAGCTGGAATAGAATGCAAATAAAAACACTCTTAAAATAATTGAATTTAAATGTACAACTTCAAAAAAAAAATACATACCTTTTGTTCATTTCATTTTTTGAAAAGTTTTTGTTTACTCCAATTATATATAATACTTTTACAAGTATAATACTTTTTAACGATGAATTCAAAGTTCTAAGGGATAATATCAGGGTCATAGGGGATTGTAGTTTGGAAATTCAGTAAAAATTAAAGCAGAGAAAAAGTTCTAAATCACAACGATGGTTTGATATTTAAATATTTGAAACAACGAAATATTCTACATAAAGTTCAGTTATAAAAAATATTTTTTTTAAGTAGGACATCTAAATTCAATGTGAATCTAAATCTAACAAAAGTTCACGTTAAATGAACTCTTTTTTTAACATTGAGCTTGGAGATAATGTATCTGTTTTTAAAGTTTTTAATTATGATTTTTAAAAATCTTTTACTTTTGATAAAAAAAAAGTTGGATACTTATAGCTTTTAATTAAATTTAAAAAAAATTTAATTATAATTTTTTGTGATATTTTGTACGGTAAGAAATTTTGCGGTCAGCGTAACATCACATAAAGGTAAAAGGTTCATATAAAATCGACGCTTTTACACCTGGGAACATTTGAGATAATTAATTATTCTAGTTACTTTAACATCTAGAGTTTTCTCAAAGTTGATTCACATAAAATAAAAAAAAAACTTGTTAAAGCAATAACTGTTCTACAATAAAAGTAAAGTAATTGTCAATTTCGTATTTAAGTACCGTGTAGATAAAATGACTTATATTGGGAGGCATTTCAAAAACCAACACTTCTTGAAAGACGAAAATAACGGAAATAAACTTTTACCTGACCTCTCTTCTTCCTATTTCCCATTTCGTTTACTTTGGTCTGAAAGCGGAATCTATTAAACTCAATAATCTTTTAGGACATCACTTATTTTCAATAGCGTGCAATCCATCATGATACGTATAAAAGATATACTTTCTCGGTGAGTCAATCTTTGAGAAAAGTTTCTTGTGACTTCGTCTGAGACGGTTCTTCAAGTTAAATATAAATTAGATTTATTAGATGGGGGAACAGTTACTAAAGCACTCAGGAAGGATGAGCAGAAACGGAGAAGAAGGAGTTTGCCAACGAAGTAGTGAACATACTTTTCGTATTTTTCAATTTTATTCGAGTAAGCGAATGACTTTGTAGAATAAAAAAACTAGAGAAATGAAAAAAAAAATGTTGCAAAACAAAAAATGATGAAATCCCACTGAAAGCATATCTTTCCGAAATAAATTAAAATATTTGCTAATGTGCGGAATAATCGAAGCAGAATAAAAATTCAAACTAATTTAATTTTCAGTCTGTCTGATCGTTTTTATTTTATTTCAATTTAAATTATTAGTTGGTTAGATATTACTTTTCATTTCAGCAGCCATATTACTAATTAGAGCATCAAAGCACTAAAATAGTACCAGTTGAATTTTTGTAATAGTGAATAAAGCTTTTATATTTAATAATCATTATATTCATTGGAAGAACTACAACAAAGTTATTTTTTAAACACTTCAAGTATTTTTAATATGCCCTTTATTTCCAATAAATTATTATTTTTTTTACTAAAAAATTTCAATATGTATTTATTATCCCTCTTATGATTATATTACTTGTTGAAAACGAAAAAATCATTACGCATATAATACTCTTGAGTTTATAAATAAATTAATTATGTTTCCTTTATAAAACATGGATTTATAAGTGAATACTTATTTTTTATTCGCATTCTATTTCAATTTCTTAATAGAAAAGAACATCAAGTTTGCACTAAAAGACTTTTAATGATAAGTAGAAAAACTGTTCAATTATATCGAAAACTATGTAGTCCCATTATTAAACTATTTCTGTATTCAACTGTATTTTCACGTTTCCAATTATTAATGAATTGACAGAAAGTTTCGAGTGCTTGTTTACAAACTCCAACGCTAAACTATTAAACTTGAACTCCCTTCCACTACTATACTCGTACAATTCGAATTAAAAGAAGAAAAAAGATCTATTGAGATCGCAAACAACTAAGATTACACTATTTCCAGACTATCCCACATTGAACACGGATTCTCCGGTGAAGAGATTTACAGCTGTCCAGTACACTCAGCCAGCGGCAGCTATTTCACCATTGTCCAAGTCCACGAGGCACCTTCTTGGTCCAGAGCCAGATCCACGCTATTATTACACTCATCGTGCTCAGCAAGAAACCATTACCATTGACCGTGACAATCTTAAACACGGTAAGAAACTCTATTTTTCACGCTTTCAATTATTTAAATCTTCATTCTCATTAGAAAAAACAATGTTTATCAACGTGATACTTGGGTCAGAATAAATAAAAGATTAGAGAACAATAATCAGAAAAGCAATTCTGTGTAATACTGATTTATTAAGTAGAGTTAGTTCTAGTCAGTGACCCTCTAGAGAGTTTGTGTTTCTATAAGATGATTCAATCAAACAAATGATGATGTTACAGGAGTGGCAGCAGCATCAAGGCCCACTCCAGCTACAATTCGAGTTGTAACAGCTCTTCTCGGAGATCTCTGTACAGATGATAGAGATTGTACGATTCCAAATAGCGAATGTGTCAGTGGAGGATGTATTTGCGCAAATGGATTTGCTGAAACGAGTGATCGACAGGAGTGCTTCGGTAAATTCGATTTCTAAATTCAATTCCTAATATTCTAGATGTCCAATTGAGGCTTATTGATTTCTCAAGTAATATTAATGTCTCATTTATTTCAAACAATACATGTAATTACAACAAATTAAAAATTTATAATTTATGATGAGTTTTAACATAATTAGCAATTCTAAATTAATGAACAATATGAATTTCTTTTGAGTTTTTTTTTTATTCAATTAATGAGTAAACATTCAATTTATTATCTATGCGAATTGAATTAATAGAAACTGTAAATTGACATAGATTCACCTGCTAAATTGGCTTTTCAATAATTTAATTCATTGTAATTATTTAATCAAACTTTATTAGTCAGAAAAAATTTATTCATTGATTGATAGAATGAAATATTCAAGTAATTAAAATATTTAAATTAAATTATTTTATTTATTGTACCATTTACAAAATAATGCTTATTTTTTTAGCGAATTATATTTCTGTTACGCCGGCAGAAGAGCTACGAGTCTGTCAATCAAATCCATGTCACACATCAGCAACATGTATTGATTTACCAAGTTCAACGTTTGTGTGTATTTGTTTGCCAAATTACACTGGATTACTTTGTGACGAAGAAATTAATAAACGAGAGTATGAAGTTCCGTCTTTTGATGGCAAAAGTTACGTGAGAATGACTAGATTAAAGGGATATCATCAGTTTAGCATTGAAGTTGAGTTCAAGACTTATGCAGATAACGGCATCATTCTTTACAACCAACAGAAGAATGATGGAACTGGAGATTTTGTTTCCTTGGCAATCGTGAATGGGTAAGAAAATATACTAGGATCTATAATATATAATTTTACAGTAACCATATAAAGTTATAGCTTTATGTATGTAATAAAAATATTTATGTACTTTTAGATACGTGCAATTTCGGTATAATCTCGGAAATGGACCAGTGATATTAACATCATCTGAAAAAGTAACGATGAAAAACTATCACCGAGTTGCAGCTAAACGATATCACAAAGATGGAGTTCTAATTTTTAATGAAGGAGATGATATAGCCGGGCAAAGCCAGGGAATGCTGAAATATTTAGACCTCAATCAAGATACATTTGTTGGTAACGTGCCAACAAATTACAGCCGAGTTTACAAGAATATTGGAACCAGCCAAGGGCTTTTAGGGTGCATTCGTGAGCTAAAAGTCAATGGATTCCTTATAGATCTTCATATAGGTCAGGCCAAAAATGTATTGGAGACTTATCGGGTTAAAGAATGTCGAGAGAATGCCTGCGCCAATTTACCTTGCCAAAATGGCGCCACGTGTCAGCCAATCTTCGAAGAAGATCTCTGCAATGACAGAGAATGTCAATCACCAGTAAAACGAAGTAGAGTCAAGAAGAAAGGGAATCATAATAACGGAATCCAAGTTGTAAAATGTAAAGGACCCAGCTGTAAAATGGTAAAACGTAAACAAAAGCAGAAGAGATCACAGAAACAGAAGAAGAAATCAAAAAAACGATGTGCTGGTCCTGAGTGTGATTATGATTACGATTTAGATTATGATGCAACTTATGAGCACGATAATTATGCAGTTGCTACTTACGAACCTCCGACATATAAATGCATTTGTCCACCTCAGTTTACTGGATTTAATTGTGAAGAATCATTAGACCCTTGTCTGGGAGAACCCTGTCAAAATGGTGCCACTTGTGATATTCTTCCTCAAGGTGGATACGTCTGTAAATGTCCTCCTGGAAGAACAGGAGAGCACTGTGAAATCCTCGATGCTGAGCTTACAGAATTTTTAATTCCACAGTTTAACGAAGATGGATTTCTTGAACTTCCTTGCCTTGAAGGAATCGCTAAAGCATTTTCTATCGAACTTTGGTTTCTTACTCGTGCTCGAGATGGCTTACTTCTTTATAATGGACAACTTAGCAACGGTCGAGGAGACTTTATTAGTCTCAATTTAGTTCACGGTAATTTGGAATTTCGATTTAATCTGGGAAGTGGGATAGCAAACATCACGTCTCCTGATCCTGTCAGTCTTGACACTTGGCACGTCGTCAGAATCGGCAGACTTGGTCGAGAAGGACTTCTTCAGTTAGACGCCGGAACTATCGCTCGAGGTTTTTCTGGCAGTCCATTGACTGAATTAAATTTAGAGATGCCACTATATATAGGTGGTATGAAGTGAGTATAAATTAACATCAATCAATATTTTTATCGTATCAATATATATTGTTATTGAAATAAATTCGAAATATTATTTTTCTTTAAACCTCAGACATTGGCGAGAAGTTCATAAACTAGCAGGAGCTCATACTGGACTCATTGGAGCAGTTCAAAGGCTAATGGTCAATGGTAAAACTTACCAGAATCTCGCCGTCAACTACACTCAACATAACACGGATATCTATGATGGCTTACCATGTCCCAGCAATGAGAATCCTTGTCATAACGGTGGAATCTGTTTACCACTTTTGAACAGCTACCTTTGTAAATGTGCTAGTGGTTACAACGGTTTGCATTGCGAGTTCTGTAAGTTATATTAATGTTATTTATTTTGTTTTCGAGAAACTAAAATAAGCAGCGAACAAACAATGCATTTAACTAATTCATCAAACTCATTTACAGTCATGGGATACGACGTTTCAGGCGGAGAAATATCAGATCAACCTGTAAAATTTAATGGTGACAATTTTCTGCAATTTAAACACCGTTATGGAAGAAGGTGTGTATAACTTATAGTTTTATAATAATTATTAAGTTGTTTAACAACTTCTTCACTAACTTTCTTCAGCACTAACAATACTTTCTCTACTAACACATCTGTTTCGGAGTATTATGATGACTCTTACTCTGATTACGAATTTGAAGAGGAAGATGATTTTAATTATGAAGATTATGATTATACAGAGTAAGTTTTAGTGATGATGTATTAATTTAATTTTATTTGCACATTATAAATCATTTTTTTTGTAGATGACTTACTCTTAAAAGTCTTAATTTTATCGTATGAAATTTATGAGTAACATAAAGCTTCTTTCATCACAGATTTGTAAAATCTGATATAATAAAATAAATGTTTCGCGTTTATATAATTCACAACAATAATTCATTCTATTTTAACAGACGTAAGGGCCAGCAGTCAAATAAATTCGAGCTTAGTCTTCGCACGACCAATTTAGACGGGATGATCGCATGGATTGGACGTGGAAAAATCGAATATCTTACATTATCTTTACACGAGGGATATGTAGTTCTCACCTATAAAGGAAGGAATGATCAAATAACTCTGAGGAGTAGAGTATGTATTTCAATATTACCAGATTAATTTTTTTTTCTTCTTTCTAGTATTTTTTTCTTTCAATAATTTTAATACTTTTCTTATTTTTTTCCTTTTTTTTATCTAGGAAAAAGTCAATGATGGTATATTTCACCACATCAAAGCTGCCCGACGTCGAAAGGCAACGATAATCCAGATAGATGATGAAAACCCAGTAAAAGTATTGACGGAAACGAGTCTTCTAACAACCAATGGGAAATTATTTGTTGGCGGAAAGCCTGGTCATAAAGGAATCAAGGGTTGCGTGACCGACTTTATTGTTGATAGACGAAGATTGCGTTTAGCGAGACGGAAGATCGAATCTTGTCATGATAATGATGTATGATAGTGAGCTTTTTACATTATGGATATGGATATCAACATGATAACGTTAAATATTTCAAAGACTATAGTTGACACATCGTCTATCACATATTCTTTGAGAGTACAATCGACATTTTCAAGAAAGAGGTAATATAAGTTCTACTAAGAAGATTGTTATCATGAAAATGGAGAAAAGTTTTATTTAACAAATTATTTAAATCATAAAAAAGATAAATGAAATACACGAATAAATAAAATATTTAATAAAGTAATCAGCGATGTTTATGAAAAAGTGTGTGGAGATAGAAATAAAATATAAGTGCTACATTTTCATCGAAGGACAATAATATATTTTTAAGCTAAAAGCCGCGATAGGCGATATAAATAAAAAATAAATGTTTAAAACAATGAATAAATATTATTGATAGATAAATGATTATTCATAATTAATGATAATTAAAAATGAAGATAGTAAACGTTTGTGCATTGTGAATCATAAAATACCTTTGATGCAAAAAAATGTCCCACAAGAAACTCTGTTTCTTTTCAGCACAAATCGTTAAATTAGCACACTTATAATATTAATTAATTATTCCAAGACTGATTAATACTGAACAAATTGATTAAATCGGTGTTATGTTTGGGTGTTACGGTAGAGAGATTTAATAATTGTGGATTTTCAAATACATGTATTTTTAAGGACTGTTGATTTATGCCAGTAGATCACATCATTTAATGTAGTCAAGGCTTTTTATAAATCCGCCAGAAATAGAAGAGCATATAAAACGATGATATTATAGTATATAAAAGTAAAAAATACATAATACATTCCATTAAATGGATATCACGAAAGAAAAACCTATATATATATAAATAAATATACATAAATATATATGAGTCGTGTACGTATGTACGTGCAATAAAAAAGAATAATACTAATAATAAGTATAATGGATAGCAATTAACTGTATCACGTGTATAACGAATTAATTGATGAAATGAAAGCATGTGTGATTTGCATGAACGTGCGAAAAATGTCACGATGAATATACTTCACCAAGTGTGTAAATAACTGCAATGTTTAGTCACCATTAGCGAGAAATATTGCGAAAAATTTTCGACCTAATAATCGTTAATAACGACCTAACTCAACAAATGGGCCTTTTAATATTGTTTACGGCTTAATTTAAACTCCAACTGTTCTTCCTTCAGCACAAATAATCTTCTCGAATGATTCTCTATTATCACATCTGCTTACAGAGTGTAAAAACATAATTAATTCATTAATTAATATGAAAGTATCATTTTCGAGCGCACGATGTTAATTATTTTTTATTTTTTTAACTAATAAATACTCACGGTGCGCATTGGCTTCGACTTTCAATCTACATAGATTATAAATAATGTATAATAATCTCTTATGAGAAGCTTGCTATCTAATGTGAAATCATTCTTTTCGATGAAAAAAAAACTGAACCACACACGTCTTGCCATTGGAAATTTCTAAAACGTAAAAAATTATAAAAGACTCAATCTATGGAATATTGTTAGTTCCATACTCTACTGCACAAACTTTTACATAATAAGTTATTTTGTTTCTAAGTTCTAATGTATTCATTCTATAAAGTACTTAGTTTTGTATTATCATGGAAATTTTTACCAAGAGTTATGACTTATTTTTATTAATTAAGGTGTATTTAAGTGTACAAATGAATTATTAATGCTAATGATATTGGTAAAAATTCTCTTGTACTAATATCAATGAACCAATTGATGACTTATTAATAATATGAAATTGTTTGAATGAATTTAATTTCATATGACAAATTTGAATAAAAAAAGCCGTCGAAAGCAATTTTACATATCTAATTTTAAGATAAAATTTTTTGGGATCTTTATTTCCCAACATTTATTACGTATCTATCACATATCGGATAAAATACTTCAAACATATCGTCCAGTAACATTGGTTTCTGAAAATTGGAAAAATAACGCTGGAGTGAAGATAATAGATATAATAAACTAATGATACTCCAGTATTTATTTTAATTAATACTTAAATAGTTAATGATTCATCTGTAATGTCTAAATTGTAAAATGAATCACTGTAATTTGTTCAAAGCGTGTGTGTTTATCATTTCTTTACTAAAGCTTACCTCTAGACTAAATAAAAGTTGTCAAGGCTAGCCGTAAAAATACCCATCGTGAAAGTCTGTTCTACACATTCTGAAAAAATATTGTTATCTGCTGAAATAAAGTACAATTTTACCCTCCCATTTATTTAATTTTCCATGGGGATGTTTTGCTCTTCTCCTCAATGAGTAAAAGGGAAACAAGAAAGTGGAAAAGAAGAGAGAAAGAGATAAAATTATTGACCTTTATAAACTCCAAGTCCGATTTGAGCTTCACTCCTTTGATATAAAGATGAAAATAATGAAAGAAAATTTTTTTAAAAACAAAGACCATGAGCATCTTTTAAATCCCAATTAAAAGATGCCTTCGCGCGAAGTTAGAATGGATAAGAGTAAGATTGTACCAATAAAATATCGCGATTGTGATTGATTTTACTGGGTTATAACTGCCAATTTCTAGATAGAAAATAATTATCACGTGGTTGAATATTTTTTGAATATTGAAAATTTAAGAATTTAAGGTAATCTACACCTAGACCTTAATTAAGTTACTCGCGCGAGGGTTTTCCACTTAATTAAGTTTTTTACATTCATACTATTTTACCATAACTACTATGTTCAAAATCTATTGGAGCTATATTATGTAATAAAAATGCGCAATGTAAAGTGACTGTATATAAATATATAAATTATGCGACAAATTTAGTGTACTATTGTTGCCTTATTTTATGATCTTAAAACCTTTATAAAGAGATAACTGATAAGCCAAGAAATGTAAGAACCATCATAAAAATTTATTTTACGTACTCTCAAGTGTATCACATACATATTCCAGTAATATCTTATTTTAAACAGTATTTACAGCTGTAAGATATATAAAACACTCATTCATACTTTCTATGACACATTCTTATTTTATCGAACATCAATAAAAAAATTAATTTACTCTCCTAATAAATTATACCGTGTCTCAACTAGACAAGTTTAACTAATCAATAACATACATTAGGATCATTTAATAATACCAATTTATTTTAAATTAAATATTTGAATATTTTTTCGTCATTGACCCATTGTCTCACGTCTTGAATCTTCTATTCTTTGCTTCAACGTTTGCCTTATTTCTGAAATGGGTTTGACGAGGAAAACTGGAACATCATCATCTCGTCTCTATAACAGTAATTAAAGTTTATATATAGAAATAATCCAATTAAAATCAATACTTAGGACAAAATTGATTTTTTAGGATTTCACATAATACTTGATATTATATAATGATGGATCAATTGAATAAATTGTCTTATTTACCTGAAAGAGACATTCACCCTCAAACTCGACGAATCCTTGTTTTCTGGCTCTCAGCAATAATCCCACACATTTGTCACTAATTGCGACATAAATGTTGAACAAATCACCGAATCTAATAGCGGTTATTTCCGGCTGATCTCTGCAGGGCTGTCCATTTTGATATATTACATCACAGAGTTCTAAGATTTCTTTAAGGATGTGAGCTGTAGCTTTGCGTCCCCGAATATCAGACTGTGATCCTGCAGCAGGTCTATGAAAATTCAAGTAAAAAAAATTTATTTCTGAAGAAAAAAAACTTGTAAGAAAAAATTCATCTTTATAATTTGCGACGTCAGCTCTTGCGACTAAATAGTTAACGAGCATGAAATTTAAAAGAGATTCACTTCTTAATGAAATAGTTGGCTCGGATTCAACTAGCAAAAATTAGATACCTTCCGTACACAATACAATTGACAGATGAAATTATATAGGTGGGATTTTTTAGTCAATAATACTTTTTTTGTGATGTAATAACAAGTAATGCTTTCTGTTATAATCATAATTTCATCGTCTAATCTATGTACATATTTATTATTAAATTGATTGTTTATTTTTTGCTCTTACCTGCCATATTCTTCTTTAGAGAATTTGGGTCTTTCTAAATTCATACCAGTTGTAAAGGGATTTCGACTTTGACTGGAGATATGATTGTTGGCTTGCCGGTTGAACAATGCCACTTTATCACTCAATGACTCCTGAATCACAGAAATGACGATATTTTTTTTGAGTTTTAACTTATTATCATCAGATTTTTCATCCACAGATTTTAAACATAAATCCAAGGGAACAATTAAAGCCATATCAATACACTTTGTTCAAGTAAAATTATCCCTTGGACATTTTAAGCTTTAATTTTTAGTAACTTGGGAGAAAACCACCAGTATTTTTCAAATTTGACAACAAGAGTGTCTTCAAAAGCCAACTGACTTTTTTCAATTACACGTGTTTAAATCGAATATCTTTAGGGCTTCTAAGCTTCCACATTGACCTAGAACTTGTGACTGATGAAACATTAACAAAATCGATTAAATCAAAGTATTATCCAGTACAATTATATTAAAGTATTTTAATAAACTACCTACAATGAAAATATGTAATAAAAGAGTGCAGAAAAATGTTTTGTTTTATTAACTCTTAATCACTCGCGCAAAATATTTTTATGAGCTATCAGACGGATATGAAACAGCCGAAGCTTCAAAGTTGATTTACAGAATGAATCACGTCATTCTTTGATTTACGTAGGTCATTCAAGTAGATCCCCATTTGGACGAAGGAATTTTGGATCTACTCCAAGTTACCAGACTGTGGATGAGTCTGACCATAAAAGACACATTAATGGCATCTTGACAAGTTTTTATCTACACTATATCATTCACTACATCTATTTGACACGTGATTGCTGCACGAGATTTGTTATTATGTGTTATATACATTAGTCAGCACAATCATTCATTATTTGTTATTATGTGTTATATACATCAGGAAGCAGAATCATTCATTATTTGTTATTTCTTATGATAAATTGAGTAACCTATGATAATTAACGTTGATAATAAGAAGATTTATTCAATGTCCAAGTTGATAATTAATTAGCTGGCAAAAGAAAATTTATTGATGACTTTTATTACATCATTTCGCATTATTTTAAGCCACTATTCTAGTCGATCACAATATTGATTGATAGAAAAAAGTCTGTTTTTCATTGACAAGTAAATTAAAAATTTACTCGACATACATTGTATTTTTTTTTTACTTTAACAGAGATACTGTTTGAATTGGAATTAAATTTTATTAATATTCATTAATGCCAATAAAAAATAAATAGTGCCAGTTAATGTATTTACTCTTTATTATTCATCAAGAGGCATAGAATTAAAAAATATCTAAGTATCTAAGATCAATACTCACAAACATTACCGATGACATCTTGGACGGTTTATTGTATTACCAAAAGAATATCGATCCCACAATTAATTAAACAGAGAAAATACTGAAGTAAACTTAGTTAAATATTAATGGAATAAACAATAAAATGTAATAAAAAATTGATATATAAAATTAAATAGAAAGACTATTTGTTTTGTCTTTGAACTAGATTGTTAATAGTCCAACACCATTGAATGTGCTTACTCGAGACACAACTCGTGAATACTTCATCGCGACGTTGAGCGTCTTTTTATAACACGCTGAGTATTGCAGTAAAATGGTCTTCACAAAATACGGAGACTTTGAACTCCCCTCCCGCAAAATATTTCCACCTTCTTCTGGTGCTTTTTCGAGCCAATTCAATTCAATCTTTATCTTTGATTAGTTGCCAAACGAAAAAGCTCGACGATCTTTTCCGGAAGCAATAGTTCATTTCACAGCAGGAAATAACACCTTGTGATTCCATTCAACTAAATTTTATTATTTAATGAAATATAAATTACTTTGGTGTGATTTCAGCATTTAACTTAATTACTAGAAAAGCATGACCGGAAAATTTAAATGACTCAAGACAGAGAAGTGAAAAAAACTTTTCATCTTAATTTTTTCATGTTTATATATGGTGGAGCAGAATATTAGTCAACTTTGTTTGAAAAAGAAGAAATTTATTGCACCTTCGCCAATTATGAACGTAATAACACGTGCAAATCATGTGAATAAGGCTTATATTTTACTTTATTTGTGATGAGTGATATGTTGACAAGTTATTAATTATAAAAAAAAATACTATATGAGATATTAAAACCACATATTTATAAAATAGTTACAATTGAAACATCTAAACAAAGCTCAGAAGTACAAGAATTTCAGATAGTCTAAAAAGAACATACTCATAAGTTGATAAGCTACATCAAACTGTGCAGCACCTTAATGCCAGAATATTCTTAGCTCTTATTTTTTAATTAACTCATTAAAAACACCTCGTTTATTATAATAAAATGACTCTACAGCTTTACTCATCAGCTTTTAGCTACCTCACCATATTTTAAAATAGTTCATTTTCCATCTTATTAAATAAAATAAATATACTCCAAGTTGGAGATCTCCCTCAGGAATTATGTAATGACCTATCAAGCTCTGATTAGTATTATCCAACCACTTGTACAAGCATAAACAGTAATTAATGATATGAAAATTTGATTCAAACTAATGAGAACTAGTATGGTTAAATAATTCTACTTATCACCACTTATTTATATTTTTTTGAAAAGATGTCCTTTAAAGGGGCGTTTTGTATACAATACTAGAATCTTAGTATTTTATGTTTGGCCGGAAGTCTGAAATTAGATTTTGTTTACGTCGTCTACGTTTGAATGAATGAGACGTCATTACTTGGTTCACTATAGTGGTAATTCACATTCTTCGGAGGTAGACTCATGTGAAAAAGCATTCGCTTGTGATCCTAAATTTATCTTGAACACTCAGAACTTGAGTTTCCGATAAACGTTTGTAATCAAAAAGAATCATTTTTCTTCCGTCATGACGAGGTTAAATCTCATCTTTGACACTTGATATTTTTTCTCAATCATCATGTTCCGTCATGAAGGCCAATACCAGTTAATTTTAGATCAACCATAAGCTTGATGAATTTACTATGAGGTGGATTATTTCTCTAAAGTAAGCTTTTAGATGAAAAAATGTTGTTATTAAATTAGTGATACATAAAAATGCAAAGTATGGAAGCTTGATTCTATTTATGTATGAATCATAAATAATATATACACCTACATCTACAAATAATGGCGATCATAATTTTCCTCGCGTTAGGAAATCGCTGTCATTCTTACAACCCTCTGTCCCTCACACTGCCGGACACTTTTGGCACATTTCAGAGAATTTCTGGGTAATTAAGCGAAACCGCGCAGAGACTCCAAGATTACTCAACGTCGTGAAACTGACTCATAATGCTGGTGGAATGTCGGTACAATTTTGCTTTATATTAAACCCATGAAAAATCCCTTCAATTATGACTAAATTTATTTATTTATACTTTTTATTACATTCTTTCTCTAAGCCTTGAGATAAAACATTGATCTGATATTTTTAATGTCACTAATGAATTTGAAACGAAGGACAAATACCGAGGACGTTGAAGCAAATATTGCACTGACATTCCTATAACTTATATTGGCGCCTAATCTCTTTTGAACTTTCAGAATTTTTCCAATAATAATATTTACGCTAAAGGATTACTTGGAACAGAAAAAAAAAATTAAATAAAAGATATTTTTGTAAATAAGTAGAAGAATTTTTTTAAAGCACCATTGGAGCCCAACTAAAATTCAATGAATTATAAATTTTTCATCATCAAGAAAGCTCTTTAATTAAATAAATAACATATAAATCACATCACCAAAGTAAACAAACTTAAAATCAATGGCACGTGGAAATGAATTTATGAAATTCTTGGGCCTTCAGCCAACTATAATCAGACAATAAAATTTATTAATGTTAATAAATATACTTATTTATATATTATAAATATTACCAGCTTCATCATGTATTTAACATAAAAATTACCGAATTTTCCAAAACAATGCCATGAGAATGCATTCAGATGCAGATTTGGTAGTTATTAGTCATACAAATGTCATATCTCAGCTGTCATATCTACCAGATGATTAATGTTTTGATAGTGAGTGCCAAAAAAGCTGACAAAGATGATACAAAAATTTATTTAAATAATGCAAAAAATCAACAAATCGAATAATTACTTATTTTCGATAATTTATTTATTACCAAAAATGGCATGATATCAAGTATTTACTAATGGTATCCTATTAATTATCATCTGAATAAAAGAGATGTATGATTAAAACGTGATATGAAATTTGAAGTTACGCTCAAATTGATAAACAAGAACTATCAGTTTGCTTCCATCAGAAAATAAGAGCGCAACAGACATTCAAATGTCAAAAGATTCAAGTAATTCTTCAAGGTAATGCATTCATTATTGATAAACTAAAGTATTTATTGATCTGAAGTCTCATTACGGACGCAGAATGCATTTTGAGTATGATTTTATCAAATTTAGAGATGTGAAGTCTTGATGAAAATCCGGTTATTTGGAGCATACTAATTTATTTCCGACCTCATCGTCACACTACTGCATTCCAAAGGAACAACCAACAGATACACCAAACAGGGAAGCATCTGTCTAAATTTTGAATCAGCTGACGTCAATTCATCGTTGAAATAAATAACTTTTATAGAAGACAGTCAATTTATATCGCGAAAAATATCCAAATATATAAACTCGATGTTTGTTTCTAGCAATTTTAGATTCAGACTTTTGGTATTTTGTTTACATCATAAATAAGATTATGTCAATAATGAGAATCTTATGAGTAACAGACACTAAAATAAAGTCAGGTAGCTAATAATATACTTGGAGAATGTGAAATTGCACTAAACAGTTAGATTGAGATGATCTTTTTGAAACAGAAATATTTTGATTTCTCATAAATGAGTTGATTTTCAATAAAATCATTTAATCTTGATGATAAATTGAGTTTTAAGTCGCCAAGAGTTGAAGAATGATAACATTTTATAAATTTTAATCAATAATTGTTTCATATTTCACAAGTCATAAAAAATATAACAAACATTTAGAAGTCGTTGAACTATTCTTGATGATTAGCACCAAATTGCTAAAGACATAACATAACATCGAAACTTTTCAAGCACATTTAACTATGAATTCTATGTTAGTTCAACATGTCAAAAGCTTTGGGTTATTATATGATAAATCTAAGCTCGCTGCGTCATTTTCACCGTGCTTTTTGTAATGGTTTTAGAAATCCAAACATCTGTGACCTCGACACGTTACCAAGGGCTAGCGTTTGCTCCGTGGCTTGATATTTCCTCATGCACGAGTAACTCAATGTGGGTGTCTGGCTGCCCAAGTGACAAAGATAAGTGGAAAGAGACTTGTTCTACTAAATCCAAATGTCTAAGGACAATTTTTAATTTTGGGAGTCATTTAACATGGAAAGCAGCTCATTAGTTACTTTAATTTAAGGTAAATCAATCAACTGGTGGAATAATGTTGTATCTTTGTATATACCAACTCATTAAAATTATTGGAACATTATGACTTTGTTTAAATTATTAAATTGTAATAATTACAAATTTTCTTGTTATCTTTTTTAATTCAAGTAATTAAATATTACGACACAGAAATACAGTACGTGGCATTACGTTTGAATAGATATTTCATTTGTATTTTTAAACGTTGAAAACTTACTTAACAAAAGAAATAATTTTTATCAACAGAAATATATCTAACTGACGGCTATGTTGTAATTTTCAGTGGTAGATATATTTAGATTTGATTAAAAATATAAAAATTAAGATATCAGAAATATTAAAACTCTTGAGTAATAATAAATTTAAAAAATTGGCGTAATCAAGAAAAATGTTAAAAATTTTAAGTACTATGTCAATTCTGCTTCTGGTAGAAGTTTCTGGAATGGAAATTCCATTCATTTTGAGTATACAAGATTTACTCAATACTTCTAACAATATAAAAAGCATAGCGGATGAAAATTTACCTGTTGAAAGTTTATTGTCGAATAATTCTCAACTAAGTGAAGCATTAGATTTAATTGATGGTCTGAAAGAAAAAATTGTAGGATTCGAAAATCAATTACCATTTGAAGTAGAAGTTATGAGTAATAAGTTCGATACAAACACACGACAAAAGATTGAGAGATTATATCTTCGCCTAATGAGACTTGATTACACTTATGAAACGTTTTTGAGTGAAATTGACCAAATTACTGATTTCGATAAAGAAACATTGCAACTTTTGTATGAGAGTTTATCCTCTATGGGAAGAACTAGTGTTCAAAAAGATCTATCTCAATTGTATGAAATAGTTGTACCATCAGAAGATTATACTCTATGGGAGATATTACAGATGTATCGAGAAGTAAATTTATAATTTGCAATCATTAATGATGGTGATAAATAATTCTTTATTAATTAAAAACTCTGATTTCGATTATTATAGAAAGTGAAGACTACAGAAGTATGTAATATGAAAGAATCATATCAATATCAGATATTCAGATTGTATAAAATTATCATATTGGCGGAATTAAAAGGGCTTATCATAAATACGTACCTTTTCAAGACATATTTTTCATCACTAAATGGTTTAAGTCAACAACATATAATATTTTAAAATTTATGAGAAAAATTTTTAGTATATCAAAGTGAATTCAACTGTAATTTGTACTTTTTCAGTTAATATTGTTGATCTTGTTGAAAGAGCCCAGGGTGATTTTGTTAGAAGAATAAGTCAGTATTTAGAAGCCATCCAAAAAGTGATGTCCGTCATAAGTAGAGAAATTTATTTATGTGATTCTTCATCATGTGACCCAGGTATAACGAATAAAAATGAACAAGAAAAGTTAAAATGTTGATATATTATTGAAAATTATATAATTTTAGGTGAAGATTATTTAGAACTAGAAGGGTTGTTCACAGCATATGTAATAAGTGAATATGAATACGGTAGTTTTGAAGATATTTGTATTAATAGTTGTGACGGTTTTCGTAGTTTCTTACATAGACGTTGCTATAATAACAATGGTCAAGAATTCTGTACTAATCATAAATGTGCTGGGTTGGTACACAATTGTCAGAAAATCGGAGGAAGAGTAGACCTTTGTGAAGAAGTGATTAAATCAAAATAATACCATTAATGCTTTTAATCTTCAAATATAAAATACTTATCACGTTATGTTGTAGGATCCAAGTTCTTTGAAACGTTACCGTTATGTAAAATCTAATGATAAAAACAAATTGTATGGAAAATGGAGTAATTGTAACAATGGGAAATTCGCAATATTAGACACATTCTGGTACAGAGACAATCAGTGCGATGTGTGTATGTGTCAATGTTCTCAAAATATTGCTTCATCACAAGCTATTAGAACTTTCAGCTTACGTCCTCAAATTTCCAACATTAATGAAAATAAGTATGATTATAATTTATAGAGAAGGTAGGATTACGGTCTCATCTTTAATATTATCCATCCGTTTATTTTGCGAGCACGGTGTGTCTTTTATCTGCTAACCCACAAATATATTGAAAAATAACTTCTTGGCAATAAGCAGAAACTTCGAAAAGTGACAATTGATGATAATTTAACAGAATGAAATGTCATTCAGCAAAAACAAAAAGTGTCCCATAATCCTACCTTCTCCTCTAATTATAACTTACATCTAATCGATCGTCTAATTTTTATGATGTTTATTTTTAGAGTAGTGTCGAATTTTCGATTTGTCTTGAAAGATAATATGATTCACATACAGATTGAAGAATCCCCACTACAAAAATATGGCCACGTCGATAGAAGAAATTTATTGTGGGTTCCTTTGGACAATTTTAGAGCAATGAGTAAAAATAAATCCATTTCTTTAAAAGAAAACATAGATTTTGCAACAGTTTCGGATGAATCACCTTTGATGAACCTTGATGAAATATCAGCTGGGCCTTACTATGTTCTTACTGGAGTACAATTAAATCGTGAAAAAGAAACTAATGCCATTTAATTGGAAATCTATGTAACACCTTTTGATTTTGCTTCTGGACAATTAAACCCTACTGAAGATAATCCATCAATTTGGCTAACATCAATGACTCAACCAAACCCTCCTTCCGAATATTTGCAAAAAAGGTTTCTATTTTACCTTATTATGTAAAGAATAAATTAAAGTAAACTGTTGCATTACATAAATGATTTTATCTTCTTTGTAGGAAAGAGAGTAAACATGGTGGATATGTTTATACATATGAACAAGAAAAAAACATTCCGGATGTAAAACCGAATCAATTTGTAAAATTCCAACAATCCTCTCTTGATTCTGATGCTGGGCAAAGTACCATTCCCTTCTTGGATGCAAGACCTATTTTAGATGACAAAATTAATCCTAATACTATGGGACTTTCTGGGGTTGGTATTATTCATCGGAAGAATGATAAGTTTGCAGGATTACTAGCCCTGAAAGCATTGACCATTGATTTATCCAATTATATAGATACTAATATAAGTGAAGACCAGATTGATTATTATGAACAGTTATCACCATTGCCTTTAAAATACAATGACTTGATTCAATGAATTATAATTTTTTTTAAATCATCAAAAGCTTGTATATATAGTGAAATTATATACCTTAAATGTTATGACTAAATTTAAACTTGTTTTCTTTACTATTATTAATATTAATATTTGATGTCAGATGCTTTTATCATCGATTGTAACGAATATTTATCAAATTATTCTATATATGTAGTTAACCGAATAGTTGAATATCAATATAATGTCAAAAATAGATAACAATATGTTATTATTATTATGAGAATAAAAAATTTTATGCAATGTATATAACAAATAATCAATTATTAAAGATAATCCAATTATCAGTAGTTTATCTCATGAAATAGTCAGACGCAGACGAAAACTGAAATAACTGGAGAATTATATAAAAAATTATTAATTATACAAATTAATTTTGGTATTAGAATAACTTTTAGAAATTGGTTACAAAAAGTTATATCTCAAGTAGTATAACAGTAGTCGTATAATAATTAAAATGTTGAATAGTACTTAAGTAAATTATTAATATATCTATGTCAGCATTTACAGTAAATATAATTTATTTTGCATAAATTTATAATGAGCATTACATCTACACAGGTATGTACAAATATTTTTAATGTAATGCAGGTCTCGATCAGTCTTTAGTTGCTGAGAGCCTGCTAAAAAGGACATCAAGCAGATCTCTCTAGATCGAACTTGGCTAAGGTTATGTGATTTCATTCGTCGAACACTTTTTTTTACATAAAAAATAATTCGTAATAAATATAAAATCTTTTTAATAATTCATGGCATATAATAACTTGATAAAAAATGAATTTACAAAAAACAAAAAAAACATTACTTTTATTATTCAAGTAATAATTAAAAGTATAATATCGAAGAGAAGGAGTAAATGAGTAGTCATTGTCCATAAAAAATGGTACTACTGCTAGAAAAATTGAAAATAATGAGTTTAATCATGTACTTTAACATGCTGCGAGGATATTGGAACGTTCTTAACTGATAATTAATTTTAATATTGGTTAATACTAATTGGTAAATGGTACCTCAACCACCACTCAGTCAACACTTACCAATCAATCTATGCCAAGAAGTATTTCAATTATAAAAATAATTCTCTGATTATAAACTTTAAGCTAAATAACTATATTTTTCAAATAAAATTGTTTGCTTTTCTATTCAAGTAAACTTCAATGCTTAAACACCTTTTTTAAAATTGATTAATACGTTATTTTATCTTAAAACCTTTTTGAATAAATTTTTGTTCCATTTGGTTTTCTATTTTCTGAATGAAATTTTTTTGTTCTTAATAGTCTATAATATAATTGCTTTAGAACCAGTAGATGATTGTAATTCTTAATAGAATAAATTCATCAATCAACAACTATCCCTAAATGTATTTACTCGATGATTTCATTCTCTGTTTGCGAGTGAACAATCACGCATTCGTAATTTAAGCATTCTTTATTTCTAAATTTATTCAGAAAATTCTTAATCTAATTATAAATGATCAGAATGAGTTGGACTGTGATGTTGAGCCCAAGTTGAAGGCGCTTGATTGAAATTAACAGATATAGTGACAGGATGAAGAACAGTATCTGGTCCAGTGTCAGGAACGTAAGTGAGATGCGGCCTTAAAAGAGAAGATTCAATTGTAAGAGGTACGTAAAAAGCTCCACCTTCGTGCAAAGCAAATATTGGTACTCCATGAGATTTTTCTGACGTCGGTATCGGACTTGATTTTATTCTTTCAGCAGAAAATCTCTGTTTAATTGAACTTTTAAACTTGTAATTCGATGTTGGCCTCGGACCAGATGAAGGTGGAGTATGTGAATGTGTGCTGTGATTACTGTCATCACTAACAACTGTTGGTGGAGGGATAATTGGTCTTGGACGTTCTGTATCTCCGAACGAGCTTACTCCAGAACTTGAGCCATGATCCGATTGACTATTTGGTGGACAGATGGTGGGAATACTAGTGTGAACAAAGCTTGATGGATTTGTACTATTGATTACCGGCAGTTCTGGATGAGGAAAACCAAGACGGTCACCTATTAAAAAAAATTTAATTAATTAATTGAAGTTAGATATTACAATCAGTTTTATTTATTCATTCATTTACATTATGCTTACTATATATTCATAATTAATTATGCCTACCAATTTTGATATTTTTAGTTTTTATAAAAAAAGGGAATCATTATATGTTTACTCTGTAATAATTATTTTTGATAAATAACTAACTGAAACTTCATAAAAAGTTTAGTCGATAAAAAAATGTATTCAATATTAAGTAAAAAAACGCAAGAAAAAATGGATTTACCAAAAACTTGATGACTTTATAATTAATATGTGATTTTTATAAGATTACTTCATAACAGCCTTAAAATTATTCTTCAGAAAAAAAATGACTGTAAATTGAAACATGTCTTCCCATTAATGCTCTCAATTGAATTTAATTATGATCTTATTCAAAATCAAAGTATCTGATTTATGGTTACAGAATGAAAAAATTGAAGGTCTAAAAGATGGAAATGATTATACAGTCAAATGAAATTACTTACTTGTGGCAACAATTTTTTCGCAATGCTGCTGTAAGTGGCTAACTAACTGTACACAGAGAGAATCTCGTGCGAAAAAGCCTTCTGCCTCTACAAGAAAATGCATTGTCTCACTTAGACATTCTTGAAAACCCAACCTATAATGTTCAGCAGCTGTTGATGCAGATGTCGAATGTGAAACACTATCAATGCTATCTTCTGGATGTGTATGAACGGGTGTTGCGGATGTATGCTTTGAATCTTTAAGAATAATAAATGTAATTAATTACACCATAAAAATCTCATCAGCTTTTTGATTTTTTTTTTTACAAATTAACTCAATATAATAAATGGAAATAAAAGCTTACCTTGATGAACACCTTGAAGATATTTCATATGACGAATAGCCATCTCAATTATTTCTGTTTTTTCGACTCTCCCCCGGCCTTTCTTCAAGTACTCAGTGGGTATGAGCCTACTTAGGTCAGCCAGACAGTTGTTCATTCTATCTCTTCTCCTTTTTTCGATAATTCTATGCGACATGGGATCTTGCTGTAATCAAAGCAAACAAACATCTCATTAAAAATCAATTATTCAGATTTATTTTTTATCGAAAAAAAATAGATTAAATTTCTATTTATTATTCTAATTGTGGCAAAGAGTAAAAATAAGTGCTTCAGTACATATTCAATGGATTTATTTACGTCATAAAAGGTTTTTGCTTTAATTGCACTCATTGAAAATGCCAGTCATTGATTATTTACGTCATATATATATCAATGACATTTCATCATTATTATGCAGAAGCATACTTCTATTAACATGTCAATTTTTATAACAATTATCCAAAAGTAAAACAATTCGATGTATTTATATCTTATTATCACCTCTTTATTCAAACATCGTTTTTTCCTCGACGATGATGAATGCAATGGTTCATCGTGACTATTCGGTGTATAATACTGCATATTTAAAATATTTTCCATGCTGTGGGTGACCATCGTAAATACAATTAACAACAAAATAATTTTAAAAACTAATTAAAAACACTAGTTGTTTTATTTACACTATTTTTAATTAATAATTATTAAAGAATTTTCAAACGTTATATTTGAAACACTTAATAATAGTTCACTTGAAATTCAATTAACGAATTACTATCCACTTCGATTAAATCAATCAACTCGACTGAAGCAACTGCGTTCATGTTACACAGTCATGATCGAGTGGATGACTGTGAGTAGTACTCAACTTTACTCAACTACTTATGTTCCTTTAGTGGGCCAACCAACATTGCCCTCCTAATACCCCCGCGTCAACCGTATCATCACGTGTACACTCCTTTGGTGGATATAAACAATAACACGTGAGGATTACAAACATACATGAATTTTCCTTTAACTCTCAAGAATAATTACATATCCAGTCAGAAGGCCTTAATGGAGTTAAAATGTTTATAGAATCAGAGCCCCAATGGATGATCAACAGAAAATGTGAAATAAAAAAAACCAAAGTCATACCGCTATCTTAGAGTTCAAAAGAATCATGCTTCAGAAGCGGATAAAGGCAGTAATTTCAGTGACCTTACACCCTAGCATTTTGTTGTTTATCTCAAATATATGTATTATAAAAACGTGAAGCTTTTGCATAATTTTTGTACAATTATTTTTCTTTTTAAGTTTTTAACCTTGAAATTATCGATTTCTTTGAAATAATTTTTTACAGATAATTATTTTATGGTAATTTTTTATTTATATCTTTGAATAAATGTACAAAAGTAATAGAATATTCTTAGGGTTGGATAATTAAAAATGAAAATTGTATTTTAGTTTGATAAATTGTACTGTAAGAGATCATTCCATTACAAATGTTTTACTTTATATTTAAGGATGTTTTCTAAAATATATTTTGGATATTGATTGAATGCACATGAAAGTTATGAATTGTTGTTGTTTGTGAAAATATATTTCAACTTTAAACGATGAGAAAATGAATATAACAATTACAGAAATGCAACCAAAGTTAAATTATTCACGAATTTTGAACATAAGACTATTTATATTTCTGTATGTTTTTAATTAATTTGACAAATAGCAGCTCATTTCCCTCAACATATCAATATGTGGATCTGAACAGAATACAATGTGTAACACTCCCATAAATTTTTTTGAGTACAACCTAAATTACATACATCGATGTAACAGGTGTTTTCAACGGAAAGAATATGCAATCAGCAGATGTAGATAATTGACACTCATATTTTTGTACCTCATCACCAGTGTAATCGTTTACTGGATTGTTATTGTTTAATGCAACATAATTATTTATAGTAATCTGAAATGATATTAACATTGAACGAAGCATCGAGAAAATGTATATTGATCTATTCAATAGCAGCACGTGATTTAGCTTGCAAATGATGGATAAAAAATGAAAAAGAAAATGCGTTGAATGGGGTCAAGAGATATGAGAAAAACTGGATATATCTGGAATATTTGAACTCTGTGCTCAGTATAAACATTCGCATTAAGGTCCGGTTATCACTGCAAATGACGGAGCTGGCCCCCTGTATATTTTTCAAACGATAACTGGGATTCACCGGATCTTTAGTCGTCTGACAACAAGCTATTCTCTTTCTCTTTCTATGTTATCATGTCTGGTGCATAATTTCGTTTTTTACAATCTTAGGTTACTTGAGGTGATTGACTTTGTTAGCACAATCAGGAGTTTTTTACACACCTAAAATTTTAATTAACATGGTATAGCTTACTCCTTAAACTAACATCAGTAACTGTGAGAAATATCTTTGCAAGATGATTGAAAAAATAAAAATTATTATAAGTATCAAATTGGCTGATGCTTAAAGAAAAATAATTTTATAAAATATTTGAGATTATTTATGTCTCATGTTGGATAAGAATATTGGGGGGTTTTATTAAAATTTTTATAAATTTTTTTTGTACAAAATAGTTTATATTTATCAATATTATGCTTATTCAACTTTCAAAGTTCAATAAAACTTTCATAATCCTATCAATTGAGATTAATTTATTTTAAATATTTTATTGTAATATCTGTCATAAAAAAAAACTTTATACTATTCAAATTCATTAAATGATTTAAGTTAAAGAAAATTATTAGAAACATTTATTTCCACTGAAATTTTTATATTTATTACAAATGAATCATTGATTAAATTCATTAAAAGTCCACATGTTAAACTGAAGCATTTTTTCCGAGCAGATCTTGCATTTGAACGATACTTGTCACCTTCTTGATATATTGATGTGTAAAAAATGATCGATAGCTTGTGATAAAAAAAATATTCACGTGAACTCGTCCAAGTTTATGATGAAAAATGTGCAGACAAGGCAAATATTAATTGTTGATCATGAAAAACTATGCATGCAAGCTTCAATGACTTTAAATAAAAAATGAAATACACTTTTAACTCCAATGATTAATGAAGCATTTTAAATTTGACTAATAACATGATTGAGGCGAGCAAGTATGTGAAGTTAATAAAGCGGAAGTATAAAAATCTTCATAAAAAACATGAATGAAATTAAAATACATGCTCTCGAGACATTTCCTAACATATAGCAAGGATGATTGTCCTCGTGCAAAAAAACATAAGGACAGCGCTCGATATGGATTGTTTACGATGGCTCAATTGCTATTTATAGAAGGTCATGAAAGGTTTTTTTTATGCACATATTATAAAACATAATTTTAAAAACAAACTATTTGAATAATAAGTAGCAACAAAACAACGCTATCAACTTAATGACAAAAAATGAATCATCGATTAACCAAGTTATCCGTTTCTTACTATTGAAAGTTCTTCAAGAAAATTATTGCAATAGAAGCCAAAACATACATGTGTTTCTATTTAACGATGACTCTTAAGCTGCTAACTTGTGCTGGTTTCGATGGAAAAATGAGAATATTATCGTCCAACACACGTGTCAAGTCTTAAAGCAATAATCGATAAGTAGACAATAAAATTACCGTTACATAGAAAATTACTGGACACTACACTAAAGTAAACTTTAACTATCAAATAAAGGAAAAAAAATAATAACTGCACTTCAACTTCCAATGAATATTTTATGTTTTTTTTTTATGTAATAAGCGTTTATTTGAATTGTATCAAAATAAACTCTTTACCCTTCAATTTCTCTATTTTATTTTTAATTTATTGATTTATAAATACCAGTACTCACCAGTTTATCAATTTAGAATACTTTTTTAAATTAATTCGAAATTTAAAATCGTAATTACTTTAGAATGTATTCAAACTTTGTCACTACTCTTGAACTTGCATTCATTTAATTGAATAAATTTAAAAAAATTTTAATTAATAATTATCTTAAACTATTTTGTTTTTATGTTTTTTATTATTTATTTTAGCCTTGAAAATAAGAAAATAAATTGAATCATATAAAATAATTTAGAAAATTATCTTTTTAATAATAACGTATAATTATAAAATATATTCAAGATGTTTCATAATGAATTTTCTAAGTATAATATTCTAGAAATTTTACTTTATATAACATCAAGAATTTCAGTTGAATTTAATCAAACAGATTTTAATAATATCTCAAATTAAGGGTGGGTAATTCTGGTCAAAAATTGTCCATAAAGTTGACTAAATATGGTTCCATTACAAAACTTTTCCTGATTGAAAATATAAACGAATAATAGATGATTAATCAGAGAAAAGAAGTTTTCCCTTTTATCGTTGTGATAATACTAACTCGTTTATGCGGTAATAAAAGGGAAAATATTTGCGGGATTTTCTCAGTATTTATTATGCCCTATTACAACTCAGTCACGAAGTCTCCAATTGTTTCGTTGAAAACAATTACGTAAAAGTATTTATTTATTATATTTTTAATCTATATAATAACAAAGATTATGGCGCATCACTTTTTCTAAAAAACGTTTCATTGGATAAATTTTTTTTATCTTTTCTACATATTTACTTCGATACTCTTAAGATTTTAATTTATTTTTTTTACTCCACTCTGATTTTATATGTGCAATAAAATTGGAATTTCATGCCACTACTCCTACAGAGTTTCGATCACCTGGATACTAATGATTTATTTATGCTAAAGTGCATTGATTCACGTCGAAGAGTTCAGTTCACGTTTTATCAGTGGTTTATTATTTCTATCGTGACAGCCCATGATACTTTTTCGCGTGTAACTGTCAAAAGAATTTAAATCATCATTAAAACAATTTATCTAAAAGCACGATTCAAAACAGTTATCCTACAATTAAACTATCGTTATATTCGCCAATATTGACGTTCAATGATTGCTATTCTACGATTCAATTCATATTATACTCGAAAGTGTCTATATAGTCAATATAGTACTTTCTCTTCCATATTATAATCACATAAAATTATTTAATGGAGAAAAAAAATAATTTTTTTTGTCACTTAATATCTATCCGGTATAATTTGTTCTTGCTATTTTGAACCAAGAGTCTATAAGCGAAACAAATTATTTATGAGGTTCAAAAAATTTTTTACCGTTGATATTATCATACAATAGTACAATTGATCATGAATTTAAGAAGATCTTCCAATGATAATACTTTAAATCAAATTTTTTCAATCAACAATCAAAATGAACTGAACACTTAATTTATCTTGAATTCATCAATAAAATTGGCAATAACCTGAATATCGTATTCATTTCTGATTGATTGAAATTTTATTCCAAGAACGAAGATAGTAATTTCGGAATGAGTTATCAGAAGAAGGCAAGAAGCAATTTTTATTCATCAAAAGGACTTATAATAGTAATAATAATTGAATTCATGATAATATTAATGCATAATAATTTTTTAGTACCATTAAGACATTGAGATTAACTGCTATAGAACAAATTATAATATCAAAAAACAGATTGCCAAATAAGAAAGAGAAACTGAATAATGATAAGCTCATTAAAAGCAGGTGATGAAGAATTCGACGATTGAAATGTATTTAACCTACTTATTTATTGTGAAATTGGTGTGGACATTACATAGGAATTGAAACTTGGCCGGATTTCTAACTATACACGTGTGATATTACACGTGTCTGACTACAAGCAATATCTTTGCTCAAGTGCAGGGCTATAAAAATGCTTGCAGCATTATCTAGCAAGGCTCCTACACGTCCATACATAATAGAAATAATATAATGTACGTGTGGAGATTATATGTATGCTAGATGAACAAGATCAGGTAGGAGAATGTAAGAAGTTACTGTGAAACCTTGAATGATTGTTGGCTTGCAGTATTCATATATAACAGCCAGACATCTTGTATAATAGTGTATCAAAAAAGCAATAAATGTAGTTGTCGGTCAATGATCACAATATTTATGACTTCTTAATGACGTAAGGAGACGAATAATAGTTGTTAATTTGTAAATATTTAGACTAGATTATCATTGCTAATTGTATTTAACGAAGATAAAAACAATTCTGAAGAACAGTGAATAACATTAACTGGTGTGAAAACACTGTTTTACATTTCTGCAAGATTCCCAAAACCTCATCAACATCATTAATATTGATTTGTTTGTGAGAATAGTACGTGGTGATGCATAACGATTTTTTTATCATAAAAAATGTTATTTAATAGTTATTGTAGACCGATGATTATAAGTAATATAGGTGATTAATGATAAAACATAAATTGAGCAAATAAATGGCGATTTCAGAAATGATGACATATTAGTAACTTTCATGTTAATTATCGTTGAAAAAATTTCTCCAACAGATTACTATGTCGTTGTATAATTATATGATAGAGTTGATATTTTATAAAAAAAAAATTACTAATGGTTCATAATAATTTTTTTCTGTAACATCAGAATTGTTTTAAAATAATACCAAGTATAATAATACGTTTATTGAAAAATTTTTCTATGTAATAATTGAAAAATAATGTGATACTTACTCTAGAAACTTTCTTCTTCGTATAAACTTCATCGTCTTCAGAAGCAGTAGCGAAGTTAAGATTGCTTTCGCAATATCCTGCACCTATCCCCATCCTATATATTTCATCTTTACACGATCTGCCATCCAAGCTAAAAAAAAATTGAAAACAACTTTATTAAATTATTTTCCTGTTATAATCAAATGTGATTTATAAATACAGTCATTTAAATAACTAAAATCAAAGTATTTAGAAGTTATACACTAATAAAAAAAACATTTCACATGAATATAGAATTTTAAGTATTCACAAAAGAATACATAAATAGCTATAAATCTTTGAATCTATGCACATGAAAGAAAAAAATTATGAATTTATTTATCTTTCATGAGCTTTAAAGCTGAATAGTTCATAAAGGATGAAAAAAGCACGTTATAAATATCTTTAACTATACCAGGGAAATGATCACGAAGAGTTATTACCAGTTATTATTGCACTTGTACGAAGTAAAAAAAAATTATTTCTATAACGGAAGAATACTACGACAGCGTAGGCGGAAGTATTATCGAATGACTTTCATGCATGTTCCATCATATCTATTCTATCTATTTAGTAAAGTTTTCTCATTACAATGTAAATGTTTTGCAAGGTCTTTTGTGAAAGCATAAGGGTAAATTTGACATTTATTTCTCTTCATATAGTGATATTACATTAAGTCAATAAAAATATCAGACCAAAAAGATTAATAAATCTTTTGGATTTATAAATAAAATTAAAAATGATTTTTTTTTAGAATTTGCAATTTTTTTTATATGAAAAAATAATATGAATTTTATGATTGGATAGTTTTACTTTTATAATCTAAAGAATCACGGAAAACTTTCAAAACACGTGCCGACATATTCCAATTACCAATGGTCGTAACATAAGCACATAAAAGGTAAAAAATAAAAAATATATGAAAACCTATATCAATACTTTCCACGTGTATAACATTTTATATTTTACATCCTTGATGCCAATAAAAATTCAAGCATTTCACAACATAAAAACGCAATAGAATCAATATGTCATCATTAAACCAGTAAAAAAGTGATGGAATATTTTATCTTATTACAGAGTATTTTATGAATGTAATAAGAAAAGTTAATGAAGTGCGGAGGAAAATAATTTTTCACTTCTACTTCTTGGAACTTTATCCCTCGAATAGTAGTTATTATTCATCTAAACATATAATTAGTTTATTTTCTCACTTATAAATGTTAGACAGGCCGAGATCGCAAATGCAATCAATAGAAATGAAGTGATTAACTACAGAAATAAACAAAAATTATTGAATATTAAATTACAATTTTATTAACATTAATTAGTAAGGTTTTCATGAAGAAAATGTATGAATTTCTTTTTCAAGTTAAATGCATTTGACTTGGATATATAATACCAATATGCTCTCCAAGCTCGTTAGTAAATATTTACTTAAAAGCAAAGAGCTTATGGAACAGAGAAAATAATAAAAACAAAATGATATTTGTGAAAAGAAAATATTTTATTGCTGCAACAGATCAGAAGTATATTTTTTGACGGTCTTCTTATTTTTGCCTGAGGAAAAATCAATAATTGAAAAAAAAAAATTATTTTTCTTCAGCAAATAGAAACCACATACAAGTTACATTAATTAAAACTCCAATATCAGTTTAATAATTTTATAATTTGTCAATAATAACTTTTTTATGTACATCTCTACATAATCTCTACATCTCTCATTAATTATTTTAACAATCCATTAATAGAAACGAATACAAGTGTAGACATTAGAGATCAAATAAAAACGTTGAAAGCGTGAGATATTTTCCACATAATGAGGAAACGTCTTACCATACACGTGTACTACAAGTTGGCTTATACGATCGAATGAAAGCTCAGTTAACTCACGAATCGTTCACGTGGACTCCAACGTGTTCGGTGAGAAATGATAATGTTACTTTGTTACGTACGAAAGTATGGTTGACTCTACGAGAAGACTTTGATCGGAATTTTTGTATATCATTCTAACAAAATATGAAAAATAATTTAATGAAAAATACAAAGATATAAATGTTTTTATCATTTAATAATAGTATTTCTGATAAAGATTTATCTAACATCAATGAATATATTAATGGATGATAAAATTAATTTTATTGTCATTGAATAAATGTTAAAGTCTACTGTTGCTTTTTTTTGCATTCAGAATCTCATTAATTTTATAAGAGTATTCAAAAATTAAATTAATTTAGTTATCAAAAAAAATTTATTCATAAAGTATAGTGATTGTAAATTCTTTGATTGATTACAAATAATTATTATACATTTTTTGTAATATAAAATGACTTCATAAAAACATTCAATTATTCAAGAAAATCATATTTTTAGTATGATTTTAATTATCATTTTTTTTTTGGAAAATAAATTATAATAAGCATCATTGAACAATATTTGTCGATGCATAAAAAAACAATTCTAATTATAATTAAAAACTTCTCATAATTTTTTATATCATAAAAAAGTATACTCATCATGAAATTAGCAGTTTTTATTATTTACTCATTAATCAACAATAAAACAATAAAAAGAAGTCATGTTTATGTTATAGTATTATAAATAAACAGAGTGGATTCCTTTCAATATATTTTTTTATGAATACAAAGGAGATTAAACTTTTTTGTAAAACAAATGGAATATTAAAGTTATTTATAAACTGTGATTGATCAAGTAATTGACATTTACACATCGTCATAATAATATTCAAAGCAAAAGAAAGAGAGATATACTTGAGCAGTACCTATACAGAGCATTGTAAAAAAAAAAATTGGTATCCCATACTACAAACTAACGCGTGGCAAGCAACGTGACTTGGTGGGTATGTAACTGAACTCGCGTGTGATTCTCGTGCATAACATACACAACTAATGTCTGTCGGTATCATACTTGAGAACGCAACCAACATAATTCGAAGTATACCAGTGAGTCTTAACACGATAGACTGACCAACACTGATACAATCTACTAATGAGTGTAACTACACTGCATTTATCTCTTAGGCTGTAAAGACGCATATATTTTTCTTCGTTCGTTGAACGAGGAAATTATAATTCACTGATGATTTAAGGAAAAAATATAAAATTACTCTATATCAATAAAATTTAATATCAAAAGTTGGATTCTTCAGTGAGCAAAATTTTTCATCTCCTACAACGCCTACGAGTCTCAGAATAATTCGTGATTCTGAAAATAACTTGGGAAAGTTAAAATGTCTAGTTAATAAATATAGATGTAACTAGTTATAAAATGATTATAAAAATTTATTCCAAGAATTCTTGAAGTGGGCGAGAAGTCTAATATTTGATGAATATCTGCATCTTGAGATCATTACAAGCACTGCAATTTAAAAAAACGAATTTTATCATGGGGATTTACTGATCACGGTGGAATATTTCGTCATATAATCACAAAAATTTGAAGAAACAAATTAAAATAAATATATTTATACAGTCGATAATTATATAATTATATATTTTGATATAATCAATTATATAAGATTTGACCGAATAATTATATTGTTATATACTTTCAAAATAAAATGTATTTTGAGAAATATATTTTTTGCCCGTGTAGGAAGAAATAGAAACAACAAGGTAATTTGAGAGTGATTACATTTTGATCAATATCTGGTCAACTGCGTCTGTATTATTAAGAAAATGTGATTTTCTCACTCTGAAAGAAATTTTTTTTTTAAATTTCAAATGTTATAATAAAAAAATGAAATATTTGTCAAGTATTTGGAGTAAATAAAAGATAATGATAATTAACGACAAACTGCGCTTATTAAAATTAGTGATAATATGTTTACCAACTCAATTAAATGACTTAATTGATAAATTGAGAAATACGTTATTTTACGGTTTTTAGAATTGATCAACAAAAAATAATCGTCAATTATCGTTCTCATTTCTTGGAATGAAATCACGTGCTGATGACTAGTAGGTTTTAAATTTAAAAAAAATCATCAAACCTTCTATAAAAAGTTTCCAAAATCAAATAGACAATACTGTGTAACGACTAATATCAATAACAACGGAAAAATATGTATTGTAACAATTTATAAAAAAATACAATCAAGTTACAAGAAGTCAATATAATATTTTTTAAGTGATAACAAAGTGACGAGAATATCTGATAAAAAAATTAATATCAGAAATATAATTAAACAATAAAACACAATACAAATACTTGATGTCATCTTTATCAAAAACGATAATCACACAAAACTTACTTGACATTGAAGCTATTTTTTCAAACTCCCTACAGAGAAAATTAATTTCATTACGATAATAAAATTGTAATCACATCAGAGAAAACATATTTTTTGAATAATTATTCATTTTATTGCTCCAATTTCTTGGTATTCAAAGATTGCAAATGTGAGGGTCGAGTTATATAGTAACGAGGTGAATTTACATAACATTCTGATAGAATAAAAGACAGAAAGATGTAGGATGTAAAAGTTGAGCATAAACGAGCAGGCGTGTCGACATATTCACATTCTTCCAAGAGATGGGCAAACGTCTAATAAACTATCATTACCAATATCATCATTGTAAGACTCAGGTGGATTCCCAGCAGGAAGTAATATAAGTGAATAATATGGGAAAATACCAGCCATAATTTTTCATTAACCTCAGTACACTAGTTTTATTTGAATTGACAATACTAATTGAAAAGTTGACTCAGTGAACATTTTTGATCTCAAGTCACGATATGTGCATTATTTGTCTGTTTTACACTCTAATATTTACAATTAAACCAGACACATAATGTTTGTATCGCTGCTATAATTATTTTTCGAGCAACAGTTTAATATTTTCTATTAATTAACACAGATACGGATACCAAGACCGAAAGATATTTTAAAAAAATAATGAATTGTTTAGAAAAATTGCAAAACTCATTGAACGATAGAATGTGTTGTTTGAACAGTAAATAACTAGAGTAAACAAAGTATTTATGGTAACTATTCATGAGAAAATATTTTTTTATACAGAGTCATTACTTTTCTCAGCATATAACACTCCTGACATGACACGAACATGATTTTATTGATAATAATAATCTATAGGAAAAAAAAAGTAATAAATGCCTACCCATTTTCTATACAAATTATCTAGCATAATTTTTTATTATCATATTCGTTCATAAACGATACGTATATATCGATCACCACTATCTAGCTTTGATGGATATAAGATCTTAAAAGCGAATATAGATAATGTCTATACAAAGTGACACAAATACTTGGTGACGTTCATTTATGCATCTACCTATATCAGACAAAATCGTTCATTTCCATGACGTACACTATGAGTATATATATAACTTACGTCAGAGCTTTTCGTGTCACGCACAATTTTATTTGTCTATAACCCTGTTGACATAAACTAGTCAACCGTACGTTCAATTTTGATCAATCAATATGAGAGCACAGCGAACTCCAAGATGTTATAGACTGCTTTCTATGTAGCAAGTGAAGAATGAAAAGCATCGAAGAATGCGGAATTCAAATCAACCGGTGGTTCAAGGACGTTATATTCTCACAGGTGAGAGCAGTAAAAGAAGACACTTGGAGTAATCATGACTGATTGGAGTTAAATTTGAATTCACTTTATTTTCTATTGGAAACAATTAGAGTCAATATGAAAATAAATCGATTAATAAAGAGCTTACTATCAATACATGTAATATTTGTTCATTCCGGTGTTAGTATTGAAAGACTTCAGGATTAAAATAATTACATAAAGTATAAATAAAATAGCATTACTACGTTTTTTCATTCATAAAACCTTTTTAGGTTTGAGTTCATTAATCTGGAAGCCTTGAATTGCAAGATAATTAATACCAAAGGAGCTTTTGAAAGTGCAAGAATATTTATAAGCAATTACTGGAATAAGCTAAGATTTTTCTTGGCAAATAATTTTTTATTATTCTTTTATAATACAACCGGTTTAAAGGTGTTCTTCTGACTTAATTCTCGTTGTAATATTGAAGAATAATTCAATGATAAAATTTTTTCAATGCTGTGAACATAAATTGTCATATTTCGTTTAATGATATGGAAATGACTTGACAAATTTGGAGGTTTCTAGATTAATCGAGATTTGTTTGGACATTCTGAAGATCTCGCAAAACTTTTTCGTCATGTGCGTGCATACATAATCAATCAATACAGATGAAATATTCTCAATATTGAATAAATGCAAAAAATCAAAAATAATAATTTTTTATTGATTGAATTAAAATAAAAAAAATATCATGATTATATATTTCTTTCACGAGAGCTTATCTGAAATTATGTTCCGCGTATTTATGTTATTATATACCATGTCTGAACACTTTTTTTATGCACGGATGTATCAATAGTATAGTGAGATCGTACACGTTTAGGACAAGAATAAATCGAGATCGATTGATTGACAGTGTCAACGGCCTGCAAAAGCTGTTATGTAGAGACGTGAAATCATGTGCGTGACTCTCGAATAAAATGATTCAATAATATATTCTTCGCTATTTTTTTTCTTGTATTTTATATACACGACGTCTTGGTTCTAAATTCAAATGAACTGTCTCGACAAATTCCCGAAATTTCCGAGGCGAAATAATGGCAAAACGATAATCATCATGAATTTAAAAATAAAAAAATCAGCAAACCAAGCACGATTACATTTTGCTAATATATCTATTTATCATATTAGACAGTCACTTGTGAATAAATAAATATCCACACTGTGAAATGTACTGTCTGTGAATATTTTATATAAATTCTTCCTACTTTGTAGACAGCAAAAATATTTGTTCCGAAAAAAATCTTGCGAGTTTAAAGTTAGATGAAAAAAAAAAATTAGCAATTATTATTTTTCTTTGTTTCTATGTTTCCTTTTTATCGATTCTTCAATTACTGCAGGGACTTTCGCAGATTTCTTGAATGGCCTTTAATAATTTTACAAGGTTAAACGAGCTGAAAAAACGTGATTTCCCGCATGATTTATTATGTCGAAGGACGATTTCGGGTGAGAGCGAAGCACGTGAGTCTCATGACCTCGAAAAACATTCCATCACTTTTTCATCTAAAGAAATCTGATCTTACATCATTCATTTCAATCAGAAATCACACATAAAATCAAAAATTTTTTATCAATAGTTCAAATTGAATTTCATAATTATTTAATTATATATTAATACTTAACATATGATGTCTTAATCAGTCATATTAAATGTTTTTGTTTAAAAAACAGATATGAAACGATTAACTGTAACAATAATTATCATTATATAAACCGATGTCAATCAATTTCATGAAAATAAATCAATACCACCTGTTTGCTGCAATCGTTCATATACTTGACTTTCTTACACTTCGTGTAATTGTTTTATTCAAATTAATTGATTTCCTGTGAGACTTTTATTTACTAGATCATGTTGTGATTTCTTATTTAAAATAGATTTTTGTACTTGAACAGTTGTAAACAAGCATGAAAAAAATAATTGTTTCGTTTAAGGATTTTTTTGTGCAATTAAAATTGAATAAATAATTTTCTTTCCGTTCGAAGTAACTGAGAACTCGATAAAATGTTTTGCGTGTGATTAAAAATGGGTCTCAAGGCATAATCGAAATGCTCATGTTATTTTTGGCTACAGTAATCATCAACCTTTAATTAAATATCAAGAAAGAATAACATTAAATTATACTATCACACTTATACTGCCTAAATAATTCTAATATATTTTAAAATTACTAAACAACTATTTCTACTTACGACGTCATTCTTGATATTCTTGAATATAAATGAGTAGTAGGTATTATTAAAAATAAATCAACTAATACTACACGATGTGCATTTTAATAAACCAGTAAAAAATGAATCGTTTGAAATAAAAAGTCAATAAAAAATGAATAAATAATTTTCATGTAACTGTTAATACAAAATATAATAAAAGTCTCTGTACTCACCTTTCATATTTCACCTGCATCGAATGTGCTGAAGTCTCATCCCAATAATTCTGTGTCTCCATCATCTTGATTCATAGAACAGTTATCTATTAATATCAATTAACAATCAACTGACACGAATAATACTTTAATTGGTAATGAAATGTCTTAATTAATTTGCAGGAAATTAAATAAACTTCAATGTATTTTTATGTCCCACAATTCACGCAAGAAATTCCACAAATATCAATTCTAAGTTTATAAATGTTATAGTTTATGAAATTGCGAAAATATGCTTTCACGTCTTGTGATATCAACTGCGTTGGCAAAAATGAAACATTTACATACACTGATGTCTGATTCAATAATCGTTAAGTCATAATCACTGAAGTATCTAGAATAGGTTTAAGTCCAAACGTGTGGCTGTCGTCTGACACTTAAACGAATGTCACTACTTCCAAAGCCTTTCTACTGCTCTGTGGTAAACGTAACTGACCTTCTAAGAATTTTTCACTGTTACGAGGCCGCAATTTTATTAAACTGCTTACTTAAATTAATTAATCACACTCACATTAATTACAGAAAACCCCAAAATCCAAAAATTTTTAATAATTCTTCAAAATCGATGAGAATTTAATCTTTCATTTTATTCTTATCTTCCTTAATAAGTTGTATTGTTTTTTCCGTATCACCTTTAACTTCCACGATATCTTTCTTCCCTCGTTCTTACTCTTCTGGACTCTCGTTGCTCCTGCATTAACCACACACCCTTCCACGTGACCGTCCGCAGTGGGAGGAAGCCTCGAGGCTTACGATAAGGCCATTGACTCCTTCGTAAAATTCCACACGATTGCCAGGCGATCTGCGGATGCGCATGTATGAAAATGTGTTGACAGACTCTCCTATTAAGATTCTATGGTATTATAAAAAAAGTGAAAAACCGGAAGTAAAATTTATTAATACAATTATGTAATAGTTAACATATATAATATTGCAGTTAATGAATGAATGCAAAAATACTAGAGATAATAATAATTTTTTTTTTGCAAATAAAACGACAAAGCAAATGAGGGCAATTGCTTCGTTTGGCACGCGTGTCGTTATCCGGCAGGTTGCAATGTGAGTATAGAACGTGCGGCCCTGGTTCGATCTTCGTGATGGGCTACGTTGCAGGCACGAGGAGCTTCTTGGTGGGAGCAATCGCTAACTTGCGCAGGTGCGGCATAATATAACATTGTGCCATGATCGAATTATTTCACCACTTCGCTTTACTTCTTACGAAATTTTAGCATTTTATTTATTTTAAGAAAATTTATCATCTGTATTTGAATTGATTAAATCATTTTAATGACTGAAAAGGTACAAAAAGATAAATCATAAATGCATGATAATTATTAACAACCCTGATGGTGCGTGTCTTGATATGCAACTTTGGTCCCTTATGCTTTTTTGCGACGAGTGAATGGTAGTAAAAAATTTTAAATGTAAATTCATGTCAGGTAATATTTAATTTATTCATTAATTTTTAATCCTGATTAATCATCGACTTTATAAAATGTTGAGAAATAAAGAGAACACTGTAGGTGAAACTAATGAAATTTTTTTTATCAATTTTGTTTATTAATGAAAAATAATTTTCAAATTTATTTGCATTCATGTTAATTATTAAATGAAATTTTAAATTAATCTTCATAATAATGAACTTCTTTCTATGGAATATTAAATATTACAATCATTTATAAACTTGAATTTGAATAAAAATTTAATTATAATTTTTTAAACATTTTGAAGACGTTTAAAAAATATTCAAGTCTTTACATAATATCTCCCAGAAATTTATTAGGAACAATTGTTAGCATAAATCAATATTTATATCAGTATATCATAGTTCTACTTAATCAACATAAATTCAAGCATATTGAACGTAAAAAATATTTTTCACTCAATAGAACACTTCACAATGTAAAGTCAAAAGAAGTAAATAAGTATTTAAGGTGAACATTGCACCTCGTATAATGTGCCTTGATAGATACTGATAAAATACTTGTTATCAATCATGGACAAGAAGATAAACTGGTCGTAAAACAATTGTACATCTCGTGAATAATCTAACTACAAGTTATCTCTTTATTTCCTCCATTTATACGAGATAAAAATAATGATAATCCATTTTACAATCAATATCTTATAAGCTTCCAAAAAAATTTCAAAAACGTATGACTTGTATATCGAAGAATTGTACGATAAAGCTCTTATCTCTTCTGACGTTATCAAACGTCATCATGTGAGACCACATTTCTAGATTAACATGAGACATTATTAGCAGATCAGTGCTAAAAATTTTTACTCAGTATAATGAATAAGAAAATACTTGAAGTAATTTTTTTTTATCAATTAAAGCTACTTTTAATCGAGTTTCAATGTTTTATTAATGAATTTAGTGATAAGAGTAAACAGAATTATGAAAGTGTTGTTTAGTTGTTTGGTTTAGAAGAGTAAAAATAAAATAAAAATATTAGATGTAATCTAAGATGAAAAATGAACAAACTTTCACGGTGAAAGTTTGTCTGAAGAGCTTGAGACGGTACTGTGAGGAATACGGGGTGGGCGGAATCATAGTTCTACCAACGCCACGCTATGTGACACGTGCGTATGACGTCATGAGTCCGGTCACGCGAGCACTGTGTGCTCCAGGTCACGTGTCCTGTCACGCGCTTACTCCGTAACTATGTTCATTTCCCCCTGTCATCCCCTTCAATCGAATAACTTACAGAACGCTGATTACTACTATATGCGGTACAGTTCAGCTCGAGAATTCTCATTATTTCACGTTCTCACTTGCTCCATTTCTCTTCTCCTTGATCAGAATCATTCTTTTTCCCTTTTTTTATCCGTTGATTGTATGATTTGCGACTTCGATTATCGACTTTCTAAGGATTTGCATCTTTTGATTTATTTATAAAATGATTGAATATTAATTCGAAATTTATTAGTCTTCTTTATAAAAAATTTTCTTGATTTTTAATGCTTCTAACAGTAAAAATCGATAGTGATATTAATAAAAGATTGTGTAAGTACGTAAAATGTTCGAAAACATAACTTTCTAATTATTTTTTCTTCTAAAAAGTTTTATCTATGAATTTTACTAAAAATTTCCTCATTAAGAATTAATAGATATTTATAAATTAATTTTCCATAATCTCAATACGTATAGAGATTAAACTTAATTAAGATTTGAATGATATTTTTAACGTTAATTAAACACATGAATGTTTGAGTAAACATTCATTTTAAGGTCGTTGATAATAATTAGGTTACTTGTCCAATAATTTTAGTGCACAATAACAATATTTAGCAAACGTAGAAGAAGGCAATCATTATTACAGTTAATGTTGATAATATTTCAAAATCGAAATGAGGTTGAGAAAACAATCGAAAAATTATGCCTAATCATAATTATTTTTGTATCATATTTTGTTGAATATTTAATCATGAATTCCTCATATCATAAACATGTAATCGTATCAACATTATTGATATAAATTAAAAGTAAAAGAACCAACTGATATCAACAGATGTTGAAAAAAATAGTTGAAAATTTAGGATAACATTGACACTTTTAATCATACAGTATGGTTTTACCTTGAAGTATACTCATCGTCACCACAATGAATTATTGATTTAGGATTGGTTTATCGCTTAAATCTACGTGATATAAAAATTTCATAGCTACCAGTCACGCACTGTGTATCTCGACCTCAATACGATCTCATCGTACATTTATTAATATACCCAAAAATAATCTAATCGTTATTTATACTGCATCAGGTTTATATTATTCAATTTATATGTGATCATTTCTTAACTCTTCTAAATTTGTAATAAATAAAAAATATTTATTTCTGCAATTAAGCCGCACAATTGACTTAAAAAAGTGTTAATGTTTTGTATAAAATAATGATTGTTAATTATATGGTTACAAGTAATAATTTAAGTAAACATATCCATGTACCACGCGTACCCAAATTTGCAAAAATACACGTGCACGCGTTCCGAACTGTTACTTAGCGAGACGAAGCTTTAAATAACTAAAGTATTTTTCAACCGCCCTGGATGAAAATAAACTTAGTCTGTAGCAACTGCGATCTAATATTAATTCACTCTACTATTCTACAGTGTCCATATGCGGAACACTTCTGTTAGTTATCATAGAATCATTAAAGATGACGATTTTTTATCGATTTACGATATAATGAACAGCATATGCTGACATTTAAGTAATTATATAAAAAGATTTTTTACTCACCCGACTGACAGGTCAGAAATAATGTAATATGTAAAGAAAGTAGAAAGATATCAATGCTTGACAGCTTATTAGTTGACGATAGAACATGATAAAGCTCTTTTACTGCTCTTTTTGCTATAATTTGTTGTTGTAAATTATATACTTCATCGTCTCCAGCGTGTTTCACTGATGAATCTATCCCTGAAAAAAAAAAATTTGTTTTATAACCATTTCTTCATCAATATGACTGTTTTGGATTTTTTAACTGAATTATTTATTTAAAATGAAGTAAAAAATATGTTCAATTAAAAGAATTTATTACACTATATCCTATAACGCATAGTTATTTCCCTATATAACTTGTATGCACGTCAGTAACAAGAATTTAACTATTATCTATCGAAATATACTCATGGTACGAATCATTAATGTATTCAGCTGAACTGCAAATCTAGAATACCCTGAACTAAAAGTTATATTACATTAGTTCAACACAGTTTGCTACTCTTACGCAATAGTGAAAAGTCACGAGACCACTAAACAAAGCATTTTCGTATAAATAATCAATAGAAGTGATGAGTTCATTGAAATAACTAGAGAAGCCGGAAGTACATAAATCAAGTAATAGGCATTTAAATTTTTTCTTTGACATGTATTGTTGCAATACTTATTATTCATTAATGGAGTAACTGAAGAAACCGCGAATATAAAGAATTATACAGCTTGCTACGAAGACATCTATAAAAGAAGGGGAAAATCTTTCAACACACAGTAAACAGATGTCTGTCCTCGTTCATACGCACTTCTCGTTACAGCTGCAATGAAATCTTACTTTGCAAGTTTCTAACTAGGATGAGGTGGCCTTCAGTAAATTGGAACATTCACTTTTAATTATTTAGTACACCACCTGCATATTTTTCACACCCTGTTATTTTAAATTTTAACTTAAAAGTATTATTTCGTGAGTTCATAATTCATTCTTATGGATTTTTATGTCTTTTATATCGTTATTATATCGTTGAATATAATACTTTACTTCGATAACTATGCTAAGTCATTTGCTATGTAAAAAATAGGTGACAATAAATTTTTTATCAAGATTTTGTATTACATGGTCTAGTTGCTTATTGAAATAGCTGTACCAATACAATAACAAATGAAATGAACAATAATGTTACAATTTAGAAAAAAAAATAATAGTAAATTTTCTAATATCAGCTGAGATCGTATTTTTAAACAAAAATGCTAATTTTGCTTGGCATTAATGATAAAAATAAATAGTTACTAATGACATAGAAATATATTAATATGTATCAACACATTTAATATAAAATATTGATTTTTGATATTAATATTCACTTTTACTCTTATTAATATTCTTATAATTTATTACTTGTAGATTTATCTGTTATCAATAGAATGGTTTTGGTTAAGTAAAACATTTAAAAATGAATTTCTTTCATTGATAAAATGTAGTAATTATTGATTACCTTTTTTTCTAATTTTTTGTTCAAATAGTGAATTGATTTTACACACCACTCACCGCATATATTGTGTGCACGTGTTTAAAAGGGTAAAGCGTGGTCAGGCGCGTGACTTAACGGTTGAGGCGTGCCCTTCTCCAAGTCACGTGGAATGTAATGCGGCAATCGCTGATTTTCTCTTGCCCTCTCTTCTTATCATATCACCATAGGTATTTTCTATTTATCTAATTTTTCGACGAGCAGCTATAAATTAAATTTTTACATTGAAAAAAGACATTATCATTTACACGTGCCTTTATAAAATAAAAATGTTGAAAAAATGAATTGTCATGTATTACTCACGTTATAAAGGAGAACTCAGTAGTTATGAATTGATTCATTCCATATTAATTTCTGATTAGTTATTTAAGAAATTACTAAATTTATTGAAAATAATTAAAAAAAAAATTCACTAAAACATCAAAATTCGTTAATTTAATCGTTGATTATGTAAAATTATTCATTTACCGATCTTACTATTATTTACACTAACAAGTGTATATAAGAGACTCTCTATATTGATTTAACTTATTCAAATAAATCAAAAGATTGGAGTCACATTCTCATTTGTCACACGTAATTTATCATAAGAAATTTGAAGATTAAGTCATATCATTGAATGAAATAGAGCAAATATATCTAGTTTAAACATCAACCATATGAATGGAAATTTTTCTCATTAATTTAAATTTAAGTCTTTCTTTTAATTGAAGAAATACTTAAATTAACTTTAAATCAAGTTTAAAATAATTATAAAAACACATGAATTCATTTTCCACTATTCTCATCACAGATAACAATGGAAATGTGATCTGGCCTTCACAATTAACTCTTAATATTTTATTTAAAGTTCTTTTATTTTTTTGATAAATCATTCTGAAACTTTTTATAATTCCTTCATTCTTGATTTTGTTTAATACATAAATCATTACTAATAAAAATAATAATCAATATTTTAAGATCAAAGATGAATAATATTTACATTTTTCATTATCATCTATTTATGTCTGGCTGTACAATGACATGAAAAAATTAACTTGTAATGACAAAATAATTTATTTTAGCAGAAAATACGTGTTGTAATTTTGTAAACATTACGTTCTTTTTGTTTACGACTTACGATGCTATTAACTTATCACTTTAAAACTGGATACATTCCGGATTTAGTCAGTTTGACTATCGATTTTGTTTTAAAAAGACAAAATTAACTAAAAATTGTACAATTTTTGTGGATAGTTATAAAGTATTATCATTTATAAGCTTTATTTGAATAAATTGATATATTACGCACTAGTTTTTTTTTTAAATTATATTATTAATTTATATTTATCAATTTGCTTCTCTCTTATTCTAGGATGATTGGTGTGGCATTAATTAAACTTTATCTATCAAGAAAAACGAATTAGAATGATGTTTATTATATACTGAATATCATTTTGTACATTAGTCACGTGTTGAGATAGCTAGTACCATCACTATGATTACTATCTCAATGATCTTTACTTTAATACATGATCAAAAATAATTTGATCACTTTTCCAGTTGATTTTAAAAGAACTCAATTTTTAGATTCTTTTTTAGACATACAATTGAAATTATTGTAAAAGTATTTGATACTATAGTTCTATTATTTGTTTAAGAACTAAAAAATGAGCGGGCAATATATTCACAATGGCAAAAAAATTTTTTTTTTTTAATGTGGTAGAAATTTTAGATAAAATTCAAATAACTTACGTTTGCATCAAATAGGAATGCGAAAATTGTATAAATTGCAAACTGAGAATGACATTTTGCATTAAATTATAAAAAAAATTCAATCACGTTCGCCTCTTTCCTCTGCACGTTCTTCTGCTCTAGCTTTCATTCGAGTAATGAAAGCCTGGCCTTTACTTTTGCGAAAGTTTTCATAAGGATCATTTAAATTAATGCCAACTCCCTTATATTGATCATTTTTATCCCTTATTTCTCCTCCGGATATAGGTGCTTCAATGCCTTGTTCATTGGCTCCTAATCCAGCACCGCTCCAGCCCATTTTTTTAAGCAACTGATGACCTTTATTATTTTCATCTAGGCTTGATTCTATTGGGGCTTTACTGTACGTTGAGCCACTGAAAATATTATCATAATAATATAATAAATATACTTATTCAGGCATATTACCAAGCAGGTATCAATAAATAATTTTTAACTTACAGGAAACTAGGTGGAGTAGGACTTCGATCCTGTCTATCGTTTCTCTTATCAGGACTTCGATCTTTATTACTATTTCTCCTCCGGCGATTTCGACTGTTGTGAATAGTACCGGCATGAATACTACCACTACGGCTATTACGACGATGATTTGTTGTAGGTGATCTAGATCTACTTCGCCCTCGTGATCTGGATCGTGATCTACTCCGTGATTTACTTCTGTAACGTTTCTTTGGTGGACTAGGACTCTTCGAACGTGGTCGAAGGATTGGTGTCGGCGATCTTGATTTAGGCCTTAGACCGGCTTGAATATCTTCTTCTTTTCGCTTTCGAGCTGCATTTTTAGCTTTGTAATATTCATATAATCCTAATTTTTCCCAACCATCACTATAAAAACAATTATTCATATATTAAATAAATTTGACGAAAATCTCTGTTAATATTTAAATAACAAAAATATAAATAAAATCATAACATGTTACCTGTCCCGAGGAGAATCGTGATTGGGTGGTGCATAAAATGCTTCAACTGCTGCAACTAGTCTTTCACTGGGTGGAGTAGGTGGTGGTAATCTTATAGCTTCAGGATCTAGAGATTTGTATTCACCATCTTCTAATTTGATTAGAGGCACCATAAGACCTGCAGGAAGCTCGAAATAAGGCATACTAGGCATGAGATCTTCTACAGAAGGTTCATGAATAGCAGGAGCTGGTGCAAACCCTGGTGGAGGTTTGGTAAAATCTGGCAGAGGCACTGTTGAAAATGGAGGAGGTTCTACCGTCGAAGGAAGACCCCAACCTGGAGGAGGTTGCGAAAAATTCATATCCCCTCCTATTGCAGGTGGTGGACCAGCATGTGATGGTGGTATATTTAGATTTTGTTGATTTTGAACCTAAAATAAAATATTTATTTTTTTCAAGAAAGCAACATGAAAACTTATCAAATGTTAACTTACTATTGGTGGTGGTTGTGGCGTTTTTAATTGTTGATCAATTGCGATTTTTTGTTGTTCTATAGAGTTGATTTGCCTCATCGCGTGATTTACAAATGCTTGATGTTGAGCCTGATAATTATCAAACGTTTGTTTCGTCGAAGTTGTAATTGGAGTAATCGCACTAGCAAATTGTGCGACTAGACTAGCTTGATATTCAGACCATGACGTACTTGGTTGCTTCAGCTTTTCAATGATACCCTCATCAAAGTAGTTGTTTTTTGATTCCCATAAACTTAGTAACTTATTGAGTTTTGTTAATTGATCTTCAGATGCAGCTAACGATGTATTGCAAAACATGGGTACAACAACGTTTTCCATCGCCTGACGGAGATCCATAGACTTTTTCCTAGCGCTAAAGAATCATCTTAACTTATTTTTTTCAATCACTAATATTTAGATATTCTCACTTACCAATGGTGTAATACGTCATTGACCAAATAAATGATGTGAAGCTTCTGATTGAATGTTGCACCTTGAATAACTCTGTAAAAAATTTTTAAAACACAAAATATTTATTAGAAATAGTATTATGGTATTAGAATATTATTTAAACAAATTGAATTAAACTCTTACTTTTTTAACAAATGATCAGCAATAACTGTATTGCTCTGTGCGGTAACACTGTTTTGTAAAATCCAAGCTTTACCAGCACTTATACTATCTTTTGTACAACTATCAATGATTGGTTGTAGAACTGCATCGAAAGCAGCAAGATCAGTATTCGTAGTCTGTGCATTGTTTTGAAGTGCTGATTCTTGAGCTTGTCTTACAGCATCTTCCACCCTTCCTTGTTGTTGAGCCATAAGAGCAGCATGTTGTGCAGCCAGATTTTGTTCAGACTGTCTTACTTGTTCCTGAAGAGTATTTTGTTGAGATTGAAGATTTGCCAACTCATTTTGAAGCCATCCAGATGGTCCGTTGATATTTACACCTTGGTTTGGTCCTCCCAATGGTGGATTTACGTTGCTCAGGACATTAGTTCCGATTCCTGGTGGTCCAGCACTCCCTGGTCCTCCTAATGTTCCAGCAACAGATAAAACCGGTCCTGGATTTCCTGGGGCACCCATTCCACCCACTGGGGTCAGGCCGTTGTTTTGAGAATTCAATCCAGGCTGTAGGTTGATATTATTCAATGGCTGCACTGGTGGAACTGCTGATTGCTGCGACTGCGAAACGTTTAAACGTGGATCTGCATTTTGCATTGGACTTATTCCTTTTTGCTTTAAAACTGTAAACGAATGACGGCGGATTATAGAAAGATATTTTTTTATTGGGATTAGAGATAAATATGAAAAAAATCCTGCGAACGGTTAAAAAGAAGGATCTCCAGCAAATTAGATGAAGGATTCTTTGAAAAAAAAATCATTTTTGTTTATTTTGGTATGTTATGGTTCAGCGTTTGCAACTTTCTTATCATTATAATGGACTTACTTGCTTGTTCCGTAGTTACTTTATATTGGTAATAGTTGAAATATTCTCCTCCAAAAAGAAAGCTAAATTTAGGGTTATCTTTTTGTTTGTTTTTAGTCATTTGTTCAAACTCAGGTCCATTTCTAGCCACAAACTGAGCCAATTTGTCAATAATATTTCTTAATTCAATATCTGCAATTATTAAAATTATATATTTAGTTATTTTCTTAAATTTTTACAATTTTATTTAATAACGTTCACCTAACCTTACTTATATTTCGATACGTCAAAAGTTCATAAATATGTATATTTTTTTAGAGTAATTTTTTATGCATTATATAGAAACAAATCTTAATAAATTTTTTGAAAGTTTAAGTTAACTAAATATTATTTTTATTACAAAAATGTACTCAATAAAAACGCATCATACTGAATCAACCGGTGGATAAATTTCGACATACCTGTCGGTGCTTGATCCATTTTGGCAACTTTGAATAATCTCAATAAATTTCATTAAGCTAAATTATTTAAAAATGAAATTTTCACTTAAATCAATACTCGTATTTACAAATAAACTAACAATACAATGCATTATTCTCACACGGTGCATCAACAACGCTAAATACCGTCATTTTGTCGACAAGTACAAACAATCATCACTAGAGGCGCTGCATCAACTCGAATTTTTCAGCATGCTGACATGCACTTCACTTCATGTTGTTTCTTTTTTATGACTTATGTCCGCCATTACTCGAAGATTTTTATTGTAAAAGTGAAGTTGTAGATATTATTCCAAATTTGTCTCGATTTCTTCAATATTTACATCGAAAAACGTTGTTTGTGGTCAATAATTTTCAAATAGTAAGTTTTAGATAGTTTTCTTAAAAAAACGTATAAATAAGTCTGAAGTTCTTCCATTTCTGGTATTTATCCTGTAATTAACATTTGCTAAATACGCACGTGGAAATAAAAATAATTAATGAAATTGTTTTGTTGTGAACTATCAATTTTTCAAAAATTGATTGTATACTATTCAAATAATTCTTCTTAAAGTGATTGGCAATTGAATTGTAATATTTAGTTGCCAGCAAAACCTTAACATATTCTAACCTCTACTATAGCAAATCGTCACGTTTTAATTTTTTACTATACATTATGAGTTTTTAGCATCTTTAATTATTTAGATATTTTTATTTAAGTAGTTAAACTTTAATAATGATTAACTGAATATTCAATGATTATAAGAAATTTTTTTGGCATATTTCCAGAACTTTCATTATCGTTATCTCCAACAAATCTTTTATTGATTGCCTTATTTTATTACACCTGTCTAATAATTGTAATAATTTACTCTTTAAATTGAAATTAATGACATTATTTTTTTTAGAAATGCCGGCTGTATATGAATCCAGCTGGGCAGATGAAGTAGATGATGAAGGAGATACATTACCCCCTCCAACAGAAGTTTATGAAAATGGAATGAAAATTTTAACTGAATACAAATATAATGAAGACAATAAAAAAGTTAAGGTAGTTCGAACCTATAAAATCGAGAAAAGAATCGTCTCAAAGACAATCGCAGCACGAAAGAATTGGGCAAAGTTTGGAGATTCTGCTGATGATCGACCTGGACCAAATCCAGCAACAACAATCGGTGCAGAAGATGTTTTCATGCAGTTCATATCTAGCAAAGAAGAAGAAAATAAAACTGAAGAAGATTCATTAGAAAAGTTGAAGAATATGGGAGAAAAGGGTGTTGTCAAATGTCGTAACTGTTCTGGAGAACATTGGACTACGAAGTGTCCCTACAAAGATACCGTTCTTGCTGGTGGGAATGTACCAGATGACAAAAAACCTCAACTTACCCCTGGAGTTCCCAATGCTGCTGCAGATATCAGCAAACCTCAAGGCAGCAAATATGTACCACCAAGTATGCGAGATGGTGGCAACAGGAGAGGAGATTCTATGCAATCTCAACGGCGTGATGATACTACAGCAATCCGTATTTCTAATTTATCTGAAAGCACTAATGAAGCTGATTTAGAAGAATTAGTCAAACCATTTGGATTCATACAAAAACAATATCTTGCTAAAGATCGAACAACCAATCTTTGTAAAGGATTTGCGTATGTTCATTTCAAATTCCGGTCTGAAGCTGCAAGAGCCATTTCTCACCTCAATGGTTATGGATATGATCATCTTATATTAAATGTCGATTGGTCTAAACCACCAGAAAAGAATAATTAGAATTAGAACTGAATCATTTTATTATTTGGTTAAGCAACACGCGGGATATGTTTAGAATGATACAATTTAAGTAAAATCAGATTTCATTGGCAATATATAATATGTAATCAGACTGTTATTACATTGGAATTTTTTTCCTTTCAAATCCTATTCAATTTCTTCCATTGCTTAAATCATTTTCTCAAAAATGTACAATGAATTTTACTTCAATTTTTTTTTTTTATAACTTGTAAAATTTTCTTATGATTAGTTTTGTTCAAAAGTTTTATATGTATTCTTTGATTACAACTTTTCATTTATGTATAAACATGATTGTATTTCTTGGTAAAGGTCAATAAAAAAACTTTCAACCAATATAATTTTTTAAAAATAATTTTATGTAAGAGTAGGAACAATAATTTATTTTTACCATATTCGACATTTTTTATGAGGATTCATTCTTGATCCAATAGGACATTGAAAATCTTCTGCAAATTCTGGCATATTGGAAAGAGGTCCAAGAATACGAAATTCACTTGGACTATGGAATCCAGTTGTGATACGAAGTTTTAAAGTTTCTGGTCGAGTAACTGAACACCACATGTTGGCAGCACTTATCCAAAACATTTGCCTTGGTGAATAATCAAGTCCTGGAAGTCGAGGTTCGGGTTTGTTACGTTTCGACCATTCTTTATATGCTAAGTAAGCTTCTTTGATGCCTCCATTATCCGCAATATTTTCTCCTTGAGTATTTATTCCATTTAACTTTAAAAAATTTTGCAATTTATAGAAATGAATAAAAAATATTACACATATTAATAAGAAAATTCCTTACATTTAATCCAACTTCTCTTACAGTAAAGTTTCCATATTGATTAACAATACACTTTGCTTTCTCTAAATACTTCTCTTTTGTCGCAGGTGCCCACCAATCTACTAAATTACCTCTCATGTCAAATTGTCGTCCTCGATCATCAAAACCATGGGTTATTTCATGACCGATAACAAATCCTATTGCTCCATAATTCATATACCTCGGTCTATCATTACTAAAAAAAACACCCTGTAGAATACCAGCTGGGAATTCTAAATAGATATAAAATAATTGTTGTCTATATCAATTCATCAATAAAATTTGCAACACAATAAAAACAAATTACATTCGATTTCTCAGACTTAAATAAGTAAAACAATATCAACTTACGAATGCTGTTTTCACTAAAAGAATAGAATGCATTAACAATAGCTGGCCGTCCATGAGTTATCCAATCACTTTTATTGATAGGTTTTCTGAAATTACTGAAAGAATAATTTCGACCGAATATCGTCAAATTCAACATGGAACCCAAAAAATCACCTTTGCTGAATTCAAGGTTTTTATAAAAATCTTCCAATTTTGTATCATTCAATAATTCATCAGGATACGCAATATGAGTTGTCATTGTTGCAGCTTTTAATATAGCATGTTTACGAGTCTTTTTATCCATCCAATCGACCTGAAATATAGAATATCAGTTTTACAAACTTATCTTGTAATATGGCAAATTTCGTGGACCATATATTACCGTTTCCAACATTTTACTAAACTGTTGTTTAATGTCACGGACCATCTCCACAGCATTTTTCTTAGCATTTTCATTAAAATATTTCTTTACATACAAGGCCCCAACACTTAGTGACAAACGACCCGAAACAATACTTATACATTCCATCCATCTAGGCTCTCTTTCCGTTTTTCCAGTAACAACTCTGGAAAATTGCAGTTGTTTTTTGCGAATTTCATCATTTAAAAAACTAACTGATCCTGCTGCAACCCGTTGCATAATATAATTAGCAATGGTTCTTTTTGGAGTAATAATAATTAAATCTTCAAAATTTTTAAAAAAATTAGGAGCTTTAACATTAATGATTTCATTCTCATCTACTTCAATGATTGGCCTTAGGATTCGGTTGAAGTAATCTTTCCAAGGTACGGATGGATACCTCGTTAACAATTCTGCTATCGTCATGGGATTGTAAAACATAGAAGCATTACGACGGTGTTCACCAGACACTGAAATCTACATAATTAGCAAATATGATTCATTAATAACATGTAAAGTGTTAAATAGAAACAATTGTCAATGAGATTTCACTAAAGATAAAGTCTTTTATGTTTTCTTACGTTAGCTAGGTTTATTTCAAATAAAAGTGACTCCATAAGTTCTGTTTTAGCTCGTTCTCGTTCAGCACCAAGGATAATTGCTACATCTACCATATAATTATAGTATGCCTTTACAATTTTATCGTCTAATCCTTTCATTAAATATTCTCGTGATAATCCAAGTGGTGTTTGATCTAACTGCAAATAATAGAGTAAATAAATTTCCAATTTAGAATAATATTAATTTCTCTAACTTACGCCAAACATTTTTTTTGAACTATTCTTAAGATCAACACCAATACTAAATTCTAGCAAATAATTATAAGAGTAACCGATATCTCGTAGCTTATAGATCAATTCCATCCAATGGAAGTCATCCTCATTCCATGAATCTCCCTCGAGAACTGGATATCCACCAACATCTTTTAAGATCCTTAAAACAGGATTAAGTCCTTGTTCTTCTATGGCAGCTGAAAAAACATAAATATTTGAATATTTTCATTTCTATTACTACCATTACTTAATACTATTACTTACTTTTATTCATACAAATGCTGTATAATTCTTTGACAAGTTTAAAGGGTCTAATCTCGTTATGAAAATCTTTTTCCTCAATAGTAGTTCGTAACTGTTCGAGAATTTTACTATTGGTTATACTAAAATTGTCAACAATAATTTTTTCATCTTGAATTCTCGTAGTATTGATGAATCCACCACAAGCAAATTTATAAAAGTCATCGCAAGGATCGATATTTGGATTCATATTATTTAAAATTTTTGACGCTAAAATAATTTTAATATTCATAATAAATGAAATATTGCATAAACACTCGTAATTATCTTGTGATACTCACCAACATGAATACATTCTGGAGTATAGCATACATCTTTTGTACTCAGAGTAGATGCTAAAGAACCTCATGATAGATTTAATTTAAATGTTAATAATTTTCGTTTATTTTTAATTCATGTGCAAGAATAAAGCAAGTGCATTACAAAATATAAATGAGATGAAAAGGAAATAACTCAATCTCTTTGTTCAATATGATAATTTTCTGTCTCCACTTCATTAAGTGCCTATGAATGAAAATAGTTATGAATATTAATTTTATCAATATTGTAGGCGATGAATGAACATAGCATTGGATCGTGATGTAGGGTTTGAGTTATTACGGGAAGGAGATTTATCATAAGCCTCTCACGGATTTCAGCGATTTTGATCAGTCGTGAGACTGAAAAGCATATTGAGTGGGGAACCGTGGGCTAAAAGCCAAACGTGGTGTGTTGTTGTACCGTTGGCGACAAAGGGAGCTCGGGCAAATGCCACGGGAATAATGCTGGTGCTGTTGCTCACCTGTGCCAGTGGTTGTTGCTGTATCGCACGACCTGGAATTCGTGACTACCACGCCAATACTTATTGCCAGGGCAATACACACGAGGACTCCGGAAACTGCTATCACCGTTAGCCCACGTTCCAAAGCTGACCGACGCTTCCACCATGTCGGATTTCTGAAATTTAAATGTCAAATTTTATCTATTATCCATGTAGTTATTTTGCAATATAAGTTTTTTATGATCTTCAGATCTTTAGAGAGTTGCAGTTTTACTTTTTGACATTAGAGATTCTTAGCACTGTTATATAAAAATGCTGAAATTACTACAAGTAAGAAAACATGAAATACTTGACTTTTTTATGTTTAAATATTATGAGTATTACAAAATATACTGTTATTGTTCAGAAGAAATGTTATTATTTTTTGTTGAACGCTTTCAATAATAATAACACTGATTAGGACACTCGCAATGAATCATTGCACGAGTTTTAATGATGATAAGTAGTTAATCCAATAACTATTACATAAAATAATAATAAGTATAAAAATTATATAAAATTTATAAAAATAATTTTCTTTTAATCAGATAAAATTATACAAGATCATCAAAGACACTGAAAAGTGAACAATAACACAAAATTTTCCTTAATTATCATTGAAGGGCACTTTATTTATTGCAATTGTTATAAAATCTTCTTTCTGTACTTTAATATGTTCTATTTTTTGTCTTAAATTTGTGCTACTTCCGTTTTACTCAAGATTGTATCATTTCAGAGCTTTGTTTTATAAGTTAATACTATAATATGACTGGTAATTACAGCAAATTTATACGATGAAATTATTTCGAATAAGTTTTTCAAGTTTAAATTTTTTTTCTAATTTTTCTCCTTATTCTATTTGAGAAAAAAAATGAACAATTTTTTCGTGTTTCTCTTTTCATTAGAGAAGTCGATAAAATTATTCACTGTTCATGTAAAATGTGAGCTGTATACTTTTTCTTTGTAAGCATAATTTTTTGTTAAATAAATTAAAAATGTCATCAAACATGCTGAGCTTTATAAATACGGTCGATATTTTATAGTTGTATAGTTAATCAATCACTAACAAATAAAAATATCAAATTGGAAGCTTACTTAACTATCGTATGTTTCCCATTGTTCATCATTGGCATTTCCATGTTGTCACTGATTTATAACACATAACACTTCGAATATTTTCCTATAAGTTTTTATAATTAATCAACAAGAGATGCTATCATATGAGTGACTTGATAGGAGTATAAACATCGGACTGAGGAAGCGCGCTTACTTCTCACTGGTATTTAACGAGCTACCTGGATAAACAATGTCCTCCGGAAAATGGCAGCTTCATAATATTTATACTATACTAAATAACATACGTAAGTTAAATATGTAATCACGATCGTTGAACTACTTATTTAATTCTAATTGTTAGACTATGAAGTGAGTTAGACTTTAAAATGATTGTCATGGTGTTTAATTCTTTAACTTAATTTAGGAGTATAATGAATGTAAACACATTTATTGTTTTAATTAATAAATGATTTAGATGATTCATTTTTAATAGGGCTATTGGTAGAATAAATTATTTTTACAAACTTCCGCATAATATTATTTAATTATAAAACTATTTTTTTTTTTTATTAAAATAATTTTTTCATTTAGTAAAGGTGAATAAAAATAATTCGATTCATAACAATTTGTCAGATATATTTTAAAATTATTGTAAAGAGATTGCTTGTACATTTTTATCTAAAAACTTTTTAATTCTACTTTTTTTTATTTCTTATTTTTCAAAAATCTTCTTACTTGTGTTTAAAAGTACATAGAATTTCACCACACCGCAACACAATTGTTGTTTTACTTTATACATTTTAGCTTATACCAATATTTATAAACATATTCTAAAATATAATAAACATCAAATATTTTTTATTTTTTTTTGTCTATTCTAGAGTAATTATTTTGTATGTATAGAATATTACACAGTAAAAAAGTTAGTGTTGAATATATAAACAATGTAAATTGTCAATCTAGATAACTTTTAAAATTTGGTGTCGTTTTCTTGCACGAATAAAAATATTCAAATATGAACTGTTGTCACTAGTACAGTACACAAAGTTTTTTACTGTGTTCCTATTACTATAAAAATTATGAATAGTAATCATTGTTAATGAATATGTGATGGTTGAGTAATATCAAATAATTTGATGAGCATGAAGCTTCTAAGTAATACATAAATTCTATAGTGATAATTTACTATGTCACCTAAGTACTTAAAATCGGTAACTCTACGTAAACAACCATACAAATTTTACCAATTGCGTAATCATTGACAACATTGCGTCAATTAAACGATTCAGTTCATTTTAATTTCAATTGCTTTGTTTTTATATCACTAACAAAATACTCTTTAAATGAAAATAATTTTCGACAATAGTGTAAACATCTATATACATTTTTTTCTCAAAATTGTAAAATTTTTTATAAAGTAATTATGCATATTTTTTCATTTTTAAGATTCTATTTCTTTTCATAATCTTTTCACAGTAGATTCATTCAATGGCGATGATACTACATTAAAATAACGCAATTATCGCAAATACTTTTTATCAAGCTTTTAAATAATGATAATTACATTGTTTGGATATCTCACAGTTTCAACAGTATGCAAATCCAGTTGTAGAAAGGGAAACCAACAGGAGAATAGAACAGATTTTTTACCATACATGGCACTTGTTCGGTGGGTTCATTCTAGAACCTTCAGGACATTGGAAGTCTTCTGAAAACTGTGGCATATTTGAAAGAGGTCCAAGAATACGAAATTCACCTGGACTATGAAATCCTGTAGTAATACGAAGCTTAAGAGCTTCTGGTCGGTATACTGAGCACCATGTATTAGCAGCACTTATCCAGAACATTTGCCGTGGTGAATAATGAAGTCCTGGAAGTCGTGGTTCGGGATTGTTTCGATTAGACCACTCCTTATATGCTAAGTAAGCTTCTTTGATGCCTCCATTATCCGCAATATTTTCTCCTTGGGTATTTATTCCGTTCAACTGCAAGATAATCAATTATGTTAATCTTTTGAATTCTTTTTTACTTCTTTATTGCATGTATTGTATTGAAAAAAACATCATTAATAATAAGTATTTAGGAATAATCTAACTATTGATCAACAACTAATTTATACATGGCCTTAATGAATTGACAATTAGATGATTAACTGAGTAAGTCCAACAAGTTAATATATAAACGGATTTTGGAAAATGTAATCTCGGATTGATTAGTTGACAAGTAATCGGTTGAATTAAAGAGCAATTAATTAACTTTCAATGAATTTATCCATACTAATAAAGTTATTGAAAAAAAATCTTACATTTAATCCAACTTCTTTTACAGTGTAATTCCCATATTGATGAATTATACATTCTGCCTTTTTAAGATATTTTTCTTTAGTTGCCGGTGCCCACCAGTCAACTAGATTTCCTTCTTTATCAAATTGTCGTCCTTGATCATCAAATCCATGAGTTATTTCGTGACCAATAACGAATCCAATAGCTCCATAATTCATATATCTTGGCCGATTGTTACTAAAGAATGCTCCTTGAAGAATACCAGCTGGGAATTCTGAAATAGCATGTGTAGTATTTTTTATTGTAAAAATGTTGAAAGCAAAGTTTTTATAGTATTTTTTTAATTACTCTTATTATAACGTAATTGCATTTATGTGTGATAATGTACTATTACATAATTAAATTCACTTACGAATGCTATTTTCGATAGAAGAATAGAATGCATTAACAACAGCTGGTCGACCATGAGTTATCCAGTCACTTTTATTGACAGGCTTTCTTAATTTACTGAACGAATATTCTGTTCCAAATAAGGTGAGATTTAAAATACAATCTAAATAATTCCCATCATCGAATTCGAGTTTTTCATAAAACTTTTCCAATTTGGAGTCATCCAACAGTTCATCAGGATAAGCAATATGGGTGGTCATTGATGCAGCTTTGTCTAAAGCACTTTTACGAGTTTCTTCGTCCATCCAATCAACCTAAAAGACATAAAAATAAAATAAAAGTTAGTTAAATGTGTACGTTATCAATAAATCAACTGATTTAAAAAAATAATACCGTTTGTAAAATTTTGTTGAATTGACTTCTGATATCAGAAACCATTTCTAAAGCATTTTTCTTAGCATCTTCGTTGAAATATGTTCTTACGTAAAGAGCACCAACACTTATGGATAAGCTGTTAGATACGATATCAACACATTCTTTCCATCTTGGTTCTCTTTCCGTTTTCCCACTAAGAGCTGTAGAAAATTGAAGTTGCCTTTTGCGGATTTCATCATTAAGATAGCTTACTGATGCTGCTGCTGCTCTCCACATTACATAATTAGCTTGAATTCTTTTCGGAGTGGAACTAATAAGTTTCTCAAAATCTGCTACGAAACCAGGAACATTAACTATCGTTATTTCATCGTCATCGATTGTAACAATTGGACTTAGAATTCGATTGAAGTAATCTTTCCAAGGTATGGATGGATAGACCTTTGATAATTCTGCTACAGTCATTGGATTGTAAAGCAAAGTAGCATTTCGACGCTTCTCAACTGGTAGAGAAATCTATGTAATTAGTGAAAATAATTTGTTAATAACATTAAATTAACTTCAATAACTTGAAATGAGATAGATATCATTATTCTTACGTTAGCTAATTTCATTTCGAATAAAAGTGACTCCATAAGTTCTGCTTTAGCTCGTTCTGGTTCAGCACCAAGAATGATTGCTATATCTACCATATATTCGTAATATGCCTTTACAATTTTATCGTCTAATCCTTTCGTCAGATATTCACGTGATAATCCAAGGGATGTTTGATCTAACTAAAATGTGAGAACAATATTTTCTTAGATAATGAAGGTTTAAATGAGTTATTTTATAAAAATTTAACGCTGTAATATCTGACTTACATCTAAAACTCTTTTTGTGCTGTTTTTAAGATCAACACTAATGCTAAAGTCGATGAAGTAATCGACGGAGTAGCCTAAATCTCGGAACTTATAGACAGATTGTGTCCAGTGAAAGTCATTTTCATTCCATAAATCTCCTTCAAGAACTGGCCAGCCCCCAAGTTTCTTCAATATCCTTAAAACAGGATTAAGTCCTTCTTCTTCAATGGCAGCTAAAATATAACAATATTGTGAAAATATATTTTTTTGATGTCTTGAGGTTTAATTAAGTTCATTTTAATTATGTTATATGATTTATAATGAGAATAATTTCATAATAAAATCGCTATTTAAATACTTACTCTTATTCATACAGATTTTGTAAAGTCTTTTAGCAAGTCTGAATGGCCTAGGCTCATTAGGATCAATTTTTTCTTCAATACTCGTTCGTAGTTGTTCTAAAACCTCATCACTAATAACACTGAATGTGTTTACGCTCACTTTCTCATCTGGAATCTTGGTAGATTTGATGAATCCACCACAAGCAAACTTGTAAAAATCATCACAAGGATCAACAGTATCATCCATGTTGCTTAAGACTCTATAAGCTGAAAAAATGAATTGGGGTGTATTGTTATGGTAGTTTGAATGCGTGTAATTACTCAATAAATTTTTAATTTGATTTATGTATCAACTTACCAACATGAATACATTCGGGCGTTTCGCAAACATCCTCTGGAACTTGAATAATAGTTGGAGACCCTCGTATTGATGGATTTCCACTCAGGGCTTCCACTGTAGACGGTAGCATTTCATTTTTAATGTCAGCTACTCTCGTGCATTTGTGATTTGGTGTGCAAGAGCGAAAAAAGCGTGAAGCCAGTGCATTAGAAAATGTAAATGACATAAAAAGACAAATGATATAACTGATTTCAACTGATTGTAAAATATCGAAAAATTGTAATTTCATTTTTAATGTTGTGTCATCAGGTTTTTTCTTTTAAAATAACTTTTCTATGTATTAAAGCATTAAACTAACCACTCATGTTATCAATACATGCATTCTTCTGTCAACAAATGGCAATATTCAGATTGTTCAAATTAATGGATTAGCAAATATCACGACTAGGACCAAAACATTGTTTTATTAGTAAGTATCCAATTTTGAATTTAATATGAAATTATAAAAATATTTAATTTGTTTTTTTTTTGCATATTTTAACAATGAGAAAAAGATGTTATTAGTTAGATATATTAAATTATTTATCCGTTGTGATCAGTGTAGAGTTGTTTCAACCGACAGCTAAGATTTATGATCATTTTGTGATTATTTCTGCATTAACATTAATTTACAACGTTTAGAAGATTTGTGAGTTTAGAAAAAAATAATATTAAGATATTCAATATTAACTGCGAGTCATTGATGATATTTAATATAACTCTCAGATTTTCTCAACAAGTTTCTTCTTTCAAAGTGATGTAATTTTGAAATTTAACACATTTAATTCTTGATAATTAAAAAAACGTGATTGATAAAACTATTAAGTAGATAATAACATCATTCTACATAGATCTACAAATCTAAACTTCCTGTTTGATTATGTTAATTTAAATGAACATAGCATTGGATCGTGATGTAGGGTTTGAGTTATTATGTGAAGGAGATTTATCATAAGCCTCTCACGGATTTCAGCGATTTTGATCAGTCGTGAGACTGAAAAGCATATTGAGTGGGGAACCGTGGGCTAAAAGCCAAACGTGGTGTGTTGTTGTACCGTTGGCGACAAAGGGAGCTCGGGCAAATGCCACGGGAATAATGCTGGTGCTGTTGCTCACCTGTGCCAGTGGTTGTTGCTGTATCGCACGACCTGGAATTCGTGACTACCACGCCAATACTTATTGCCAGGGCAATACACACGAGGACTCCGGAAACTGCTATCACCGTTAGTCCACGTTCCAAAGCTGACCGACGCTTCCACCATGTCGGATTTCTGAAATTTAAATGTCAAATTTTATTTCTCGTTTCTAGCATACAAGTTTATGCTAATTGATTTTTAATGTTATAAAAATTGTACCAGTTTTGATCTGAATATTAGAAAAATGGCAAATATTCTATATTAAGTTAAAAAAATTGCTAAAATATTTAATGGTTTGCTAATTTTCAGTAAAAAGATGCAATTGAGGCTCTTCTAGAAAATAAATGACCTTGCTAATGTAAAATCGATCCTTCTTATCTCGAATATTGTGGTGCATAAATATTAGTTAACGTACTATCTAACACTTTTTGTAGATTGTAATGTGTAAAATTCCATTAAGAGATAAACGCCATGTGTAATGAATAAATCTTAAACAAAAGACGTAAAAAAGAAGGTCAAAGAGTTTTTCTTTTTAATTAGAATAAAGTATTTCATATCAGCTTTAAAGTTAGATGGATATTACCATTACACTTGGCTTGTTGACAGGTAGTATTACTGTTCACAGCCATTTATAAAGAGAAACTCTGTTTTTTTTTTGATAATTAATCAAGAGAAACAATGCCATTTTATTACTTTTAACATTGTTTCAATCTGTAAACTTGAACAGTAAATTTATAATTAATAAGGAAAAAAAATTAAAGTTTCTATAAGTATTATTCTTAACTAAAAAGATAAAATATTACTTTTCTCGCTAATTTAAAAAGAAAAATGAATTTTTTTATTTTTTAAGCAAGTTCATTCCCTTTTATATTTTTAATAAAGACCTGTCATTATAAATCATTTATTACTGCCCATAATTTAATAAAAAATAAAATTGAATTTCCTTTAAAAATCTTTTGACATTTAGTTTTACTAGTATTCTAGATAAGGTTTAATTAACTAAAATGTAGTGGTGACTCGTGCTAATTAAAGAGACAAATAGTTGAACGGGTTGCTCTAAGTACTGATATACAGGCAAATCAAGAGAGTGCACAATATGAAACCATGAGTATAGTTAAATAAGATCCAGCGACATGAGTATATCGACCTCGTGGCTTGTACTCTCGAAGGATTTCTCAGTCTAGTCTTTTCGTATCTTTCCCTCTCTTATGATATTTAGAAAGTCATTGGCCCAACGAACCGTACTGGATCAGTATAAAAAAGTTATCATAAAACACTAGAAATCACTCTTTTTGTCACTATGCTACTGTTATTATCTTCTCAAGCTAATAAAATCCTACAAACCTGACGCGACTATTGACCGCTTGACCTCCAACTTTTCCAATGTTTGAGATTCAATGGATATTATCTCTTTATAGACACAAAAAAAGTTCTATCGTATTTTAATAAATTATCACCTTAATAATCAATTACATTAAACGTCCACCTTTTTTTACAGATAAAAAAGGGTAACAAACCCGTTTAAATCATAAAAAATTATTTTTCTGAGTCTAAGAAATTATTTTCTATTACAATAAAGCTGTTGTAAAAGTTTGCGTAATGGTTGCTTGTTGAAAATAATAAATTTTTCAAAAAATTACAATAAAATAATTTTTTATTGTAATCAATAGATAATAAATTTGTTGACAATTATAAAAGTATTCTATTGTTTCCCAAGAAGCCTAAACGTTATTATCTATCATTAAGAAGAGTTTAAAAGAATTATTTAGCTCGAATGTGCTGAAATTGATTTTAAGCTGGTCTTAAATTTCCTACATCGATGGCCCGATAATCATGTCAGGTTCATCGAGGCATTCCGATTGATGTCTACGCTTGACTTAAATTTAGAGTTAAATGAGAGATCGGCATGATCAGATATGACATCGGTCCGTTTTATATTTTTTTAGCATGGTAATATTCAGGCGATTCTCTCATATAGTCAAAATTAATATAGACCGCACGTGGGGATTTATATTTGGAGAACAGAAAAAAAAGAAAAAATTATACCGTTCTCTTATCAATTTTGTTTATCGATAGAATATTGATGATGTAATGAAAATAACGGTTCCGCTGGAGTGTTTCATTAAGCAAAATCGAATTATTGACATAGAATTGATAATCATCGATTGGATGTTGCATATAGTAAACTGGTAGTGTGCTTCTCAACGGAAAGAGTGTGTTGCGAATTTATGTCGTCTGGAGGACACGTTCACTCAACATTCTCATCACAATCTACCAAGCTGCCTGAGTAAACAGTATGTCATGTCCAATAGACAACTACTTTCCGTACATTTAACATCGAAAAAAAAAATTTTACGTCTATATTTTATTATTATACATTTATGTCACTACAGTTGCCATTAGCAACCACCAATGTTATTATTGTTGAAGAGGACAATAGTAAGTACAGATTCAATACTCATACAAATAAAAATAGTTCATGGTCAATCTTATTTTATAAACTTTTATTGTTAATTATTTACTAGTGGAACCAGCAGAAAAAAACCCTTTCATTCATTTGACATGTTCAGAAAATCATTATTTATTATTAATATCTTTTATTCATTGAAGATATTCCTAAGCAGCCAAATGAATATTTCTATTTAAAATAAAAATAGCATCTTTTGTTTTTCAATACTCACATTTATTTGTCCAAATTTTTGTGTGGAAATAACAGGTCTACTACTTAGAAAAAAGACTTGGATTTTTTATGTCTTGAATATAATAAAAAAAAAATAATTTAATAATATGCTGTCAAAGAGATGAATTTTGAGCTCTAATTTTTTTCTAGTCTCTAATTTACCTGATAGTTATACCACCAACTAATTTTCTAAACCAGCCTTTATACCTGAACGATATTCTTTCGAAAACATTTCAACTTGTTGGAGCTAAGTTACAGTAAATTACCTGAACGTTATTCTAAGTAGAAGAACAATCATATACTTTATTTCTTGAAAATCAAGAGATTATGAAAATTACTCACATTTTTCTGAGTAATATTTCTCTTTATTCTCAAATTGTCAGTAAATTATATCTGTTTATCAACTCCAACTGAAATACTACATCATATAACATTCAAATAATTTTTCTAAAAACTTTAAGAGCTATTTTAAAAAAGAAACAACGGCTATGGTCTTTACATGAAATAGTAGACAGACTAAAGCTAGTACATTTTGCTAATTTCCAAGTGTAGGCACAGTTTGATAAATATTAATAGAGTGAATATTACAATTTTAGGAATTACATTAACAACTTGTGCAACAAAGACTATCCGTTTTACACTCATTTTCAGCTCAATTATTGAATTGTGTCGCATTAGTGTGGATTATCCTCATCCAGAGCTAAATGGTTAATTTCACTGATCAAAGTCATCAGTGATTCAATAAAGTCGACATTTGTCTTAAACTAAGAAACAAATAATGAATAATGGAAATCATCAATGATGACAATAGATGATTACATTGAACCTAACTTAGTGATTAATGTCACGAAAAATCCTTCGATAAAATCACGTATAAGCAGCTTCATTATGATGATTTGATAATAAACAGTGTCAGCAAGGTCTTGAGGAAGTCATTCTGCCAAGTGAGTAATAAACATATTGAGAACTTCCACCAACGAAGGTAACTGATTGTTTTAACTAATGTTTTACTTAAAAAACATGAATGTTTTGTTAAGCAAATATTATTGATGATGCTTGTTTAAATAACATCAATAATTACGTGAAAATTATTCCTTTCCTATGATTATAAGAATCATATGGTAAGATTACAAATAATAATACTCCTGACTAGCCAGGAAATTATAAACAGATCATCGCACGCGATGCAACCACAATTGTTTGTTCCTATAATCCTATAACAGTTACATAAAATAAATTCAATGACACAAGAAAAATATAGACAGACGTTTGGATTATTATGAAGAAACATAGACAATGGTTATTGAAAAAAGTTACGCTTGAGTAAATTAATTGTATCTTCTAATCAGCTGGTTATTCTTTTCTAATATTATTGACAAAAATGCCATTTAAACTTTTCATTACCATTTTTTTTCATATTTTTCTCATATAATTTCCTCGTAGCTTAACTGATATTATCATTTAGTTATTTAAATAATTATAAAAAAATACTTTTATCTCATTTCAATCAACGAATATCATTATTTTTTATATCATTTTTTTTCTAGTTAAAAATTTCCCATTTTTTTTTTGTAATTCGTGTGATTTCATCTCTGTCGCAATCTATTTTCAGATTCACGTAGTATAATTATAACAAATTGAAGGGAAATTTAATGCAGTTATTAAAAACTATTAATTAAAGTTACCCGGAGATAACTATGCAAAATTATAAATAAATCTTGTCGTATATTTAAATATTGTGATTGCTGTTTCCTGATCACGAGCTATGTAGGTGTACGTTAGGTGTACTTATGCCGTCGAATAATTAATTGATGTATAATTCTCTTGCGTGTCGATGATCCTACAGTTCTCTTATGATATATGCAGATTTATTGTGTTGATAAAATTACCCGGGTTGATTAAAAGCTTATATAGTCTTGTGTCTGAACACGTGAGTGTTTAAGAAGTTGTTTGATATCAGCATGTGACTTGACTTTAATGGACTTATTGATTAAACAATTAATTACGATTACTTTGACATACAATCTAGGTTTTATGAATAAATTATTCTTTTTTCTGTTGTTTAACTTTGATAAGTTACCTTCTCAATAGTTTATGGTTCAAACAAATTGTTTATTTGGGATAGAACAATTACCAGAAAGTTGAGGCATTTTTCAAAAGCTTCTTATTTATGGGATTAGTTAAAATTGATTTAAAAATATATTTATTCATTGTTTAAACAAAAAGGATATTTTTCACTTTGATTTCTTTTTGTCATTGTGTATATCTTTCGAACAATAGGGTATAATTATTTATAGATCTCTTATATCTGAAAACAAATTTTTTTTATTCATATTGGTTTTTAACAATTTATGTGATGATATATTAATAAACATTGAATTCTTTTTACTAGTATTTTTTTTTAGAAATCTTCTTCCTGCACAACTTATTAAATTTATATAACTAACCTTATCGATACTATCAATTTTGTTTGTAATCTTTATCATCCCCTCTATTAGTTATTCATTGAGTATAGCACACTTATGATTAAAAAAGTCAATAGACAAATTAAATATTTTTGTATTTGATTCACCAATGAATTCTTAGATATTAATAAATTATTTTTTTATTCCCACGTAATAATTTATATAGTTAGAAAAAAAACAAATTTTTTTTATTTTTAACTCTTATTGAAAAAAAAAAATAATCAAACTAAATAGTGATAATAATTCATTTTCTCAAGAATATATAATTATTGAGAATTAAAAAAATATTTAGCGCTAGAAATAGAAATTATCGCTATTTTTAAAAGCAAATCAACATTTCTTCCTCTTCAAGAAAGAAGTACATTAAGGAGCAAAGAATTTAAGTACTAGGTAGGACGGAAAATTATAATTTCCTGTTTCTACTTAAAACAGGAAGTGTCTGACCGAGTCTAAGTGCAAAAACCTTGAATCAGCAGATATCCCAGACTTGACTACTTTTAAATGAAAACATCGAGTTTGTTTAGTTCTTTTGCTTCGAACAAAGTTGACTTTTTCTCTGGAGATATAGCAAACATATTACTTGCTAAGAAGCAGATCATGAGGAGACTAGGTCGCCAACAGTTATTTGACGTCGTTAAGTGAGCTAGTATTAGATAGGGTCGTCGTCAAACATTCTACGGGGTGTTCACTTCAACCCTCTGCAGTTACCAAGACTCGAAAGAACCCCTGTGATCGTAAACCTTGCACTATGAACACTAACACTCATCCCTTTTCATCATAAAGGGTAAATAAAACTTTCACTGCCAGGCCAGGCAGCATAAAAACTACGTCGTAAGTAGACCATCAGATAACTTTTACATTAAATTTTTTTAATTATTCGCATTGACTAGTGAGTAAAGATAATATTCTTATTTCATTTGCAAACTTTTTTCTTTGTAAGAGGATTTTTTAAACCATAAGAAAATTGTGTCATCTTTGTGTTTACTTTCATCACTTTCATTTTTAATAATGTACATAATTTTCTAGACTACTGGTAATTTTTTTGTGGTCATATAGGTAATAATTGCAATGAGTTTTTGCTGCAATTTAGTCATAATATCAAGTCATTGACACCTCGCTATAATTTTCCGGTTAACTTTTTCATTTACACACCAGTGTGAAATATAACTTAATGAGTGTTATTAAGTAGTATCAGTACACGAGTTGACAATTTATTAGGATCACTTTCATAACTATTTTTTGTTTTCCAAGATCTGCCCGAGGACGTTGTTTTTCATATTCTGATGATTCAACTGGTCAGTAAAAAAACATCTCTATGATTAAAATTACAAAAAGGCCATAAATAAAAAATCTCATCACATAAAATCTAGATAAAATTAAAGAATAATACCAAACTCAGTGTAATTTCAATGCATGTATTGTGCATGTTGTAATGACATCATTGAAGTCTAAAATATCATGACAAAGAGATATCAATTGTTGTCAAACCATAAATATGTTCACTGACTGAATTAACCGGTAAAAAGAATAAAATAATCACAAAAAACTTACTTAATAACAGTTTGTTTCATACTATTGGTCATTGTGATGGTTAGGCTTTCCACGCTTTTACGACCTCACCGTAGCACATAACACCTCACTTACACTTGTTTCACGCTACAGATGACCCCAATGTCATGTATCAAGAATGCACGTTTTTTTGCCTAGTTTATTCAAATAAATCGGCGGGAGAGATGTTGTAGATACGGATGGACTGGATTGGAGCGTAAATGCCGGACTGAACGAGCGCGCGCACTTCTCTGCTGTATTTAAACGAACTCTCCCTCCAGTTTATGGTACGTTCTCGTCTCCTACACTCTCACAACGTTCCAAGCTTTCAAATGCATCCACAAATATAGTAAAAATAAAAGATAATTTATAGCTTCAATAAGACAATTATTAAACATTGAGTCTTCGAACTTGAATAGTTATTTTAGGACTTGCCAAAGTATTGTTCACTCATGTCTTTCATTATCGTCAATTCATGTATGTACTAAATATCTTTTCAATGATTATTCGTTAAATAATTAGACTTGCAAATATAATCTTTAGCTTACAACGGTATGTCATGGGTCAAGCGTGCGTAAATTTGGCAAGTTTTAATCACATTTCATTGATTAAGTATTCCAGGTACATAAAATGTTCTACAAATAAATTTTATTTTATTTTAAAATTATTCTCACCAGCTATTTATAGTACAAGTTTGCATTTAAACATTTCTTTTCCAGACAATGTCATGGGTTTTTGTTATTTTCATTAATTAAAATTTTTAGAAAATTATTAAATTTATTGAGTAAAAGATGTTTGAAAATGAACGATAACAAAAATAATACCTAATAAAGTATTTTCATTCAAAAAGTGCATATAAACTATTAATCAGATTTGACTTTTAGCAAATTTTTTTTTATCATTCAAATAGTTTATTATTACTAAGAAAAAATTTTATTTTATTCAATTCCATCACTTGATGATTCTTCACATTATAATAAATTGATTCATTCATAAAGATAATTTAATCCTTGAATACATTTCTTAACGCATAAATGTGCTACTTTCCTCACGCGCTATGGCTGCAAGGACTCCTCTTTCTCACGATAGTTTGAGAATAATGTAAATAATCTCTGAAACCTAGCGGTCAAGAAAATGAATAAGAAATCTATAAATCTTGGGGTTCAAACTCTGGAACGAGGACGAAATGACGCATGCAAGATAAGATTCAATGACCAGAAAAATATCTTAATTAGTCTTGGCTTATTACGCTCCATTCCTGTGCATTGAAGGAGTTGGAGTTTTTTATTTGTATATTATGCAGAATTTAAACAAAATATTGAAGGATATTTTAGATTTAACCTCTTCATTTATGAGTATTTTCAACTGGTCAAGTATCTTAATTACTCGTTGCGCAAACATACAACGATTGAAAGGCCATGACAATTGTTAGAATCAATCAAATATATTAATGACAAATCAATTACCAACAAAAATATTTATTTATAAATTTAGCCTTTATTGTTGTTATTTTTTTCATTATTAAAAGTGACCTCGTTTTCAGCCTTCTTAAAATTTATGAAATTATCTTCTGTGGTCAATAATGGAGAAAATCAATCATCAGATGAATAATAAAAAAACTTTGTCAGTTTGATTTATAAAAAAACACTTTCAATATTTATAAGATTTAGATTTGGACAAAGTTTTTGTTTAATTCAAAATGAATGCAGTTGAATTTAAAATTTATATCAATTTTTGTGAATCTTTTTTTTTATTCATTAGTTTAACAGAAATCAATACAGAGATATTTTGCATGCTACTTAAAATTAGAATATTCATTTCTTCATTTCATTGATATCAATTATTTCTCGGACCATTAGAAATTATTATATTACTGATTTACAGGTATTTTCAAATCTAAATATTTATTTGTCAAATTTATTTGATAAGCTATCAATTATCAAATAAGATTATCACAAACATGCACAGTGATAGCAATATTATTCGTATATGCATATAAAGTCAATAACAGTAGATAAATAATTACAATACTCTAATCAAAATCTGTTTTGTTTTAAGTCATTAACCTTTTATCTTCCGAAAAATTTCACTTCTTGACTCTAGACTGTTACGTGATTTTGTTCAAAAAATATTACCATTAATCCATTAAAAGATTTAGTAATATTCATTATGTCCCAGAAGCTAAATTGTGCTCTGAATAAATATATTAAACATCATTTAACTACGAAAGCAGTCGGATGATTTTTTTATTTTCTTTTCATATTTTCTATGTTATGAAGGCAAGTTATTAATATTTAGAATAAAGACAAGTTCCAGACTTCTTACTAACTCGCCCATAGGAGTAAGTAAACTAGGTAAGAGGTGCAACTTTTCATCTTAATCTTATAAAGAAACTAAACTTGTTGCTAGCTTTTTTTGCAACGAATATCAATCGCACCTGAGCCAGGACGTTCGACTGACCTAAATATAATGAGCGATAAAAGAGTTTGATTAAAATTTATCTCATATTAATACCATGAGATGTTGCGAGAAATAATTATGAATCCGGATAGTCAGATATCTTGCAATGAAGCAAATAAAAGCTATCGATGGGATCCCGTTAGAGTTCGAGGCTAAATGATTTCTCATGATGATGTTGATCAGACGTAAATCTTCTAGATCTCGTGGTATCGTCAATTCATTGGTTTTATTGAACTGTCAAGCCTTGAGATTATTTTAATCACTTTAAATTGTTTAATTCCATGATGAAGACAATAACAAAAGTACTTCCTTATAATTAAAAAACAAGATACGCTGATTATATCATTTTTTATGGTGATTGTATATCCAAAAGTATATCTTGATAACGAAAAAATACTTTCCAATTAATTTTATGGTAAGATAAAATTTTTATAATTTCTTTTTATTGTAATTAAATTTATTATTTAATTCAGCAACGTAAAAAATAAGGAAAATAATAATACTTTAAAGAAAAATTCACCTTAGATTACTGGTGATATAAAGTCATGACAACCTGTTTCAGAGTACGTTCCAAGTTTTATAAAATTAACTCCCGTTAGTGCCCACACTAGCTCTGAATTCCCTAGCAGTTTTTTTTTACACTTGTATACAGAATGAGAATTACCCACTATTGTTACTTATTTTTATCAACATGACAATAATACATATTTATTAAAGTGCATTTTTAGAAGCAAGAAAACATGACACTTTTTTTTATTGAAGCAGTTAACATTGTTGAATGATGTAGGATTTGATTTAGAGCCTTTTAAAGATTATTTTTAGAAGAAAACTCATTGTTTTAATTTCGATTAGTAAGAGTTGCTATAAATTCACTGATTCACCGTGATTTTAACTAATTTATTTGAAGAGAGTAGAGTCAACGACTCGTTAAAAAGATAAATCACTTGAAGAAGCAACTGTGAAGCATCACTTTATATTGATAAGATAAAAGAAAAGTGCTTCTACCTTTTTATGAAATTGCTTCCGTACATTTTGTGATATTATTTTGATTTATTTCCTGGTATTTGAAAAATTTTATAAAATTGTGTTCATCCAAATTCTTCAGAAAAACTATCATTGGAAATTTTCATTGCAATCAATAATTTATTTTTTATTAAGTGTCGAGAAATATGATGAATATTAGTTATTTTAAAAAAAATTAAATAATTTCTTATTTGAACAGTGCATTGGACAAGACACTTGACTTTTTTTCCCATTAAAATGTAGCTTAAGCAAAGTTCAATGTCATCTAAATGTAAATTATAATTTACCCGTTAATCGTACACAAATGGGTCAATTTTATTTACCGAACTTACTACCTGTTTCTGTATTGTTGCTGATTAGAAGGTAAAGATTATGCGTATCTGTGGTCATTAAAGTGAAGCGAAACTAGTTTACATCTTCAGATAAACTCTGTATCATACTCTGTTCGACTAACCCAATCCTAGATTGATATGGTTGTAAAACTTAATTTTATTTTTATTAAGGAAAAACATAAAATACTGTATTCATGATTAATGATAAGGTTGTCTTACATGTCAGTGACCCAGCATTCAACCAATTACACCTACGTGCAAGTTGTTGCAATAAGACTCTATTGAGATTAACGAATAATTAATCCAATCAAGTCGTCACTTAAATTGTTTACTTGTCACGCAGTAGATGAATTAATTCGGTTTTTCCTTAGATACTAATTCCATCATTTCATCGTGAAATAAAAAAAATTGTTATTCAGGAAAAAAATTATTTACGACTCTACATAAAATGAATTAAAGACTCTCCAAGTATCTCTAATTATTTGAAATTAAATTAACCGATTTTCAATGCTTTTTTCAATCATTTGAACGGATACACCTGATTGTATTAATTTATTTTTTCCTTTCAATTGAGCTGAAATGTGTTTTTAAAAACAAGAAAGACAATTTTATGAAGAAATGAGATGGAACTAATTTTATTTCTTCAAATATATGTTATAAGTAATTAAAATTGTTTAAATTTTATGTAAGAAATATTTTATGGCTTGTTTAAATTTATTAATAAATAAATACGGCTATTATATAATGAAAATATGTATAAATTACAAAGGAATGTGTTTAAATCTTTAATTACACATTAAAATTCTTCTGAATTTCAGATGGAGAAATGATAAAATTTTTCAATGAGTTACGAGTTTTAAGATGTTTTCGAATCTAAAAAATCATCTTACAGAAACCGGTTTTTAATGAAACAAAATATGCCTTCATAGGTTACAGAATCTAGAGTGTATCGTACACTTTTATTCAAAGAAATGACGCAGAATGAAGAATCGTTTATTTATTGTTCTAAAATATCAAATTTTTACCCTAAGGCTTAGTATTTATAACACGCTTCTCGTTCCGTTATAGGTGTGCCCTATAACGTTGCCAGAAACTTTAAACTGTTGATGGAATGATTTTTAAATTAAAGGCTTGATAACTTTTCCCGGAAATTTATTGTTTCTGCATGTTGCTTCACCGATGGATTTTCATCGAACAATAACAGAACCACACCTGTTTATCATCAGCATTGGAAGATGCTGACACGTCTTGAATAATTGCATTTGAAAGGGAAATAATAATAACAATAAAGGTAGACATGAATTTTATAGAGTGATAAATATATTTTGTTGGATATATTAACTCAGCATTATGTTTTTTAGAATGCTCTTTTGTGATTTCGAACAATCTAATAATTATTGCACATTA